TCCTCTGTCCCTGTGAGTTCGACCTTTCTACCGCTATATTGCAGTTTTAGCCTTTAGTGGGTTATTACAGTGATTCACCCTACTCCTCACGTCAGGTCAGTGCGGCCACAGGTTATGCCTCAACGGCCCCGCAGGTCGAGAAACGACTGGAGGACGAACAACGGCGTCGTTCATCAGACCGTGAGATGCGTAGTCTGAACAGCAAGATGACACTGTGGCCAAAACGGCAAACCTAGTCACCATCCCGCTTAAGTGGAGGAGAAGGATGCGGCTAACAGTGGTCGGTTGGGTTAACCGCTTTATGCAAATAACCGTGGTCAATGATAATTATAGTTGACCGGGCAACCACAGTAATCGAGTAATCATTGTAGATGAGAAACCATGATAGGCAGGACAAAACCGCGGTTGGGAGATCAAACCACGGTAGACGAGTGCAACCACGGTTGGCAAGACAAAGAAGGTCTACATGTGGGTGACTGCGACAAATAATGACTCACAAACGAAGGTGATCACGGGCCACTATAGTCGTGAATGATGGACAGTGTGTTGTAGACGACAATGATTGTGAACAACGATGGTCACATGAAACTGTAGTCGCGGATGACGGACGGTGTGTTGCAAGGGATTGCACTCGCGCTTAACATAAAGTGTGTCACAGACAACGGTAAAAGATTATGTCTGTTCGAGAAAATATTCCATTTGTAAATGTTCAGTCCAAAAGAATCTTCGTTGAAATATAGGCAAATTGGATATCGTTGAAAAGCTCTAGATGTGACTAGTGGATCTGGATCATTTTTAAGATGTGAAAGATTATTCAAAAGGAGTAAATTGTTGCAGAAGTTTTTGTATCTATTTATTTATATGGACTGAGATACAATAGGACAAGTCGGATGATCTTGATCTGAGAGTACAAGATTATGTGTTTTGGCAAAATTACGTGTTACATGCTATGAGTATCTAATAGCTTGTAGGTTCTTGTCACTAAAGATGTTTCTTTCAATGAAATCTAGATCATTGAAAGAGGGTATAAGATCTTACACTCTTTGTACTTAGAAGAAGAAAAAATCCACTCACGGATAGAGTCGTGGAGGAGTTTGATTGTTATATGATTAATCATCAAGAAGTTAGACTCAATACTGGAGAAACTCTTGAGCATGAGTGATTGAATTAGTCATGATAGACGATAAACTTTATTTGATTGAACTAGTCAAGATTGAAAGTAAATTCTGTTCAATTGAGCTAGTTAATAATGACGATGAACTTTGTTCAATTGAGCTAGTCAATATTGACAATGAACTCTGTTCAATTGAGCTAGTTAATAATGACGATGAACTTTGTTCAATTGAGCTAGTCAATATTGACAATGAACTCTGTTCAATTGAGCTAGTCAATATTGACGGTAAACCTTATTCGATTGAGCTATTCAATATTGAGGTTAAACTTTGATGATTGAAATGATCAATATTGACGGTGATTTGGGTGATTGAGCTAATTAAGATTGACAGTAAACTTTTTTTGATTGAGCTAGTCAATATTGACGAAAAACTTTAATAATTGAACTAGTCAATATTGACAATAAATTTTGATGATTGAGTTAGTAGATATTGAGGTAAAACCTAGTGATTGAGCTAGTAGATATAAACGGTAAATTCTATTGATTGAAGTAGTGAAGATTGACAGTAAACTCAATCCAAGTGATGAGTTTACCAAAATTATAATTTTGAAAAATTTCAGTAGACACTATGCTAGTATGCAATTTGTGCATAGGGAGCACAAATAAAATAATTTTCATCGTATCTTCAATTATCTCTTTATGTAATTACTCTATCGTGTGATGGCTACGACTTAGTTCTAGTTAATTGTTGTTTAAAGAGGAGTCTTGTATTATATATCTTTATAGAACTTTTTGCAAAGTAATTATATGGATTACGAGGTTTCTGTTCCCTCAATGCTAGCATGTTTTTAATTACCTCATTATGTTTTTACTCTATCTTATTTTGACTACAATTTAATTCTAGTTAACTTTCGTGCAAAGAGGTTATCTTGTGTTAGGTTTCAGTCTAGAACTTTCTACGAAGTACTAATAAAAGTACTAATAGAGATTACTGTTTTTTTAACACAAGTTAAGGGGAAAATTGTTGAAGTTAACTTCTGTTAAGGAATAGCATGATGTCATAGCTATATGTAGATAGGAGTGTCGCTTGTGTTGGGATATATATACCCCAGGTTTGTGTATTACAGTCCACTGAGAATACTATCGCGCATGAATTTTCCATTGGACGTAGACCTGTTGAGGATCAACCACATTATACGCTAGTATCTTGTGTTGGTGGCTTGGTTTGAATGTGTCGGTGTGTTTCTCAAGCTTTACGTTTACATTAATGACATAACGTATATAGCTAACTAAGAAACAAATTACTAACGAGTTTTCAACTAATATATTCAATCTTTACATAACAAGCATACGGATCGTTGATCTGCCAACTGTATATAATTCATTATAATGAAATTATATTTTCATTTTGGATATCTTCACTTTAATTTTAACTAATTATAAATAGTTAAAGTGAATAAATCTGATGATTATAATCTAATGTTTCGGGCTCTTAAACAGCGATTTCACAAAAAGTTGTCATGTAGATTGTATGACTTCTTAACATTTATAGATACTAAGATGAAAAATTTTGAGGAAAAAAATTCTATATCATTATGGTGATCCATAGTTTTATATCATCCTAATGATGAGATAAAAAATATATATCTCTAATTGTTCATCTCTCTATCATTGTTATATACAAGAGCGTTGAGATTGATCAATGTGATTTATCATTACAAACTTTGTTTACAAAAACACATATGATCTTCATTGATAAATATTATATGATGTCAACAAGAGCTTTAATTTCATTTCCTTATAATGATACCTGAATCTAAATCCTAGCTAAAATGTGAATCATCAAAGTTCAAGATCTCATTTAAATTCTAACAATCTGACTCTATCTCAGGTCATAAAATATTAAACTTTACACAAAGTTTCATAAAAATCTAACATGGTAACTTTTTTAAACGAGATTATACTAGAAATCAATTGAATTCTATAATAGTATTTTATATATATTTATTTATTTTTTTTGTAAGATTTACTTTTGCTTTTTATGAAAAAACTTACAAATTAACATAATGTTTACTTAAACTATTCAAAAGAGTAATTTTAGCAAACACATCAATATGATCAAATTTATTGCTAATCTTGACTAATTTACTACGTTATCAATATGTTGCTAAGCTACAATTATGCTCACTGTAAACAAGATTTGAACATTTTCTTTTGTCTAAATCTGTTGTGAAAATGTTTAACTAGATATGAATTTACATTTGATGATGAATGCATTGATTAAGGTTTCATTTTTCAAAGATGAGAAGCTTAGTCTAGTGGCAAAACAAGTTATTTGATTCAATTCGCTAGCTAGCAAAATGAGATTGAAAAAAAAAATCTCAATTTTATTGCAATAATAAGAGTATGTTACATTTTTTTGCAAATCAATTGACGAGTAGCGAAATAAAACACATTGACATCATGTATCATTTTATCATAGATACATTATTTAGAGAAGTAAGTTAATCTAGTCAATGTTGATGGTTGACTTTATCTAGGTCATGAATTGATTGAAGTTATTCTTTTGGTAAATGTTAATAAAAGCTATGTTGCTTATCAGATTTTGAATGAGAATTGAGCAATTTTTATTTATATACATATTTACATTCATGATTTGGCTGCGGTTTAGTTTCAATCAACTTTAACTATCTCTGTTATTTATTTACGTTAGAGTTTGCTCTAGATTCTTTGCATAATAATTATACAAGTAATGCAAGTTATTAACTTCAAGTCATAAGTTGAGAAAAATATCTTTAAAAGTTAACATAGATTTGTTTAATTTCAATTATAGTTTTTAGGATTTTTTGATCATATTTAGATTATCATTAGACACACAATACAAAATGATAAATCACATATATAAAATGTCAGCTTTGCATGTGCGTTGGATTATGGTGTTGATTTTCTGGAATTGGGATTTGATTTTTTGTTTAATAGACACTACAATCTTGTATCAAGATATATATATATATATATATATAAAAAAAATATAAAGTCCAATACTTTGGAGATTAGTGATCATTTAGATCATTCAAAGTGATGTAAACTTTATGAATGTTGATCTATTTTGTCATTGTTACCGAGCTTTGATCATGCTATGCACAATCTATATTGATGGGCAAAAAATATATTTGAGTCTCATATTTTATCTTTGTGATAGGCTGACATCACGACTTAGCAAACTCGCACTTTCGCATATATTTAAAATTCTCTATTTTGATATTCATGAGGCTGAAACTACCAACTAAAAAGAAGATGTAAAATGTATTGAAAGAAACCTAACCTATATGGTTAATTTGAGAAAAATCAACGGATATTGTAAAACGAATAAATTAAATTTTATATATATATATATATATATTTCTGTACTCTACAACTTGGAAACCATCTGTAAATAACTAAATTGAACATCAAAAGAGATTGTGGGATATTTCTCCATATTTGGGAAAAGTATAACCATGCAATAGAATAGGCGAAGAAATAATCGGCGACTCATATCCTATCCTCTGTCTCCTCCTATGTCTCCGCATCGCCAACCAAATTGAGATAGATCACAATTGGAGAGTCAAAAAGTCTGCGTCGCCGAGATACACTATCCTCCGTATATACGACGTCGACAATAGATACGGAGTAAATACATAGACTGCCCTTGGGCCGGTCATAGGGTCGATCTGCTGGACAGTGCACTATCAGTCAGGCAACGTTGGGACCAGGCGGTCCCAAAAATCTGGAGAGGACATTTTTCGGGATGCGGGAAATCCATCGGTCGCGATGGCTCCACCAGCTCCGGCTACTGCTTCGACATAGCCTTCCAATTTTAAAAAGCGCCCTCGAAAGTGCTGGCGAATGGGCGAGCGATGGCGAGCAGTCAATCGTGTCGACGCTTTCCAATCGGAGTCTCGAGCTGATCCACTCTCGTCTCCGACTGCTGTAATGATCCGATCATTGCTCACCGTCTTCTGATTTGCCTGCAGTGTAGAGAGAGTACCTCTCCGTGTTTCGTCAGGTCAGATTCTGCGAATTCCTCTGTACATAGCACGCCGACATCGTCTGGCTTCGTCGCGCGATTCCCTCGTTCGTTTCGGTTGAGCAATTGCACATGTTGGGCCCTAGGCTGGATCCAAGCATCCGTATGCATTTCCTCACACGCAGAAGTTTCCCGCAGTCTGTGTCTCGGTATAAATCGGCGTAACCCTAGCGGAGGTGTTCGTTTCTCGTTTCCAACGACGCATTGTACATTCTTCATCCGTTGGAATTGACAGGTGCTGGGATTATTGGATTCTATATCGCTGGCTTTTAACGAGTTTTAGTACAAAATGGCGGCAGCATGTTCGCTGGTCGGGCCGAGTATGTTTTCGAGTCATAGCAGAAGAGTCTTGGTGACAGAATTTTCAGCGGTAGAAGTTTCGTCTAGCAGCAGCGTGGTCGATGTACCAGTGCGAGCTAGATGCACATTTCGGAGCTCGAGTGTGGGTTCCGGACACGGGCCATGCATCCAGAGAGCAGCGAAGGAGTTGGATACCTGTCTGTCGTATTCGCCGTTCAGCTCTTCATCGCCATCCGCCGACGAGCGGTGGAGGTCCCAGGGTTCCCGTGGCAGCCATCTCGAAGCACTCGACATGGGCATGTTTGGAACAGCAGCGGAAGGAGAGAGAATGGTGCCTGGTTTGGAAGTAGGTGCTGGTTCTTGGTTGGAACATCACTCGGAAGAGACGTCAAGCAGCAGGGGAACGTCTGGTGGAGTTCCCGTTTTCGTGATGTTGCCCTTGGACAGCGTGAAAATGAGCAACGTCGTGAACAGGAAGCGAGCCATGAACGCTAGTCTCCTCGCTCTGAAGAGCGCTGGCGTTGAAGGAATTATGATGGACGTGTGGTGGGGAATAGTGGAGAAGGATGGTCCAATGAAGTACAATTGGTCTGCCTACTTAGAGTTGATTACCATGGCCAGGAAGCACGGCTTGAAGGTGCAGTGCGTAATGTCGTTCCATCAATGTGGTGGGAACGTGGGGGACACCTGCACGTAAGTTCATCTGCGCACCCTCCGACTTCGATTTTGCTTAACTTGGATTCTTCTCCTCTCAGTGCCTGTCACCATTTCCACGTCCGTCGATTCGAGAAATCGAATATGTTTTTTGGACATCTTCTAAAAGGTGATAGTTGAGGATTTCTCTTACCTGGTTGTTGATCGTTTGGCTGCAGTATTCCTCTTCCTCCGTGGGTCGTTGAGGAAATCAAGAGTAACAACGACTTAGTGTATACTGACAAGAACGGAAATCGGAATTTCGAGTACCTGTCGTTGGGATGCGACAGTCTTCCTGTGCTGAAAGGAAGGACTCAGGTGCAAGTTTACAGCGATTTCATGAGGAGCTTTCGAGAAACTTTCAAAGACTTGCTCGGGAACACTGTCATCGTAAGCATCATCATCCCATTCTGGCCGTGGCCTAGTCTCTGTTGGCATTTTGTATCGTTCCTGGATCAGTCTTCAACATGGACGATTTTCTGACATGAATGAAAACAACTCTACAGGAAATTCAAGTGGGCATGGGACCTGCAGGAGAACTTCGTTACCCTGGATATCCTGAGCAAAACGGTCGTTGGAGGTTTCCCGGAATTGGGGAGTTTCAATGCTACGATAAGGTATGCTGCAAATATCCGTTTGCACCTTCACGCATCGTTCTTTTGCGGATAGGAGTATTGATGGATTAGAAGCCATTGGTTCTGAACTATTGCGTGGAGAGCTGAACGAGTCTTGTCCGTCTGTGCAGTATATGATCGCCAGTCTGAAGAGCGCCGCCGAGGCAATCGGAATGCCTGCATGGGGTCATGCTGGACCGAATGATGCTGGTGATTACAACCGGTGGCCCGAGGAAGTAGCTTTCTTTTCACGCGATGGAGGGTGGAAGAGTGCCTACGGCGAGTTCTTCCTGGATTGGTACTCGAAAATGCTTATCAATCACGGAGAGAAAATTCTGTCAGCTGCAGCTGGGATCTTCCGAGGAACTGGTGCCGTTCTTTCCGGCAAAGTTGCTGGTATCCACTGGCATTATGGAACCAGATCGCACGCCGCCGAACTGACTGCAGGGTACTATAACACTCGTTACCGAGACGGATATGCGCCGATTGCACGTATGTTTGGTCGGCATGGAGTGACCTTAAACTTCACGTGTATCGAGATGAAGGATGAAGAACAGCCTCCTCAAGCATCTTGCAGTCCTGAGAGTTTGTTGAAGCAGGTGACAGTGGCGTCTCGGACTGCAGGCGTGCGTCTGGCGGGAGAAAACGCTCTCCCTCGCTTTGATCAAACGGCATACAATCAAGTGGTGAAGAAATCTCGTCTGCAATTTAATCTGCCTGTCGACAGTCACGAAGAGCAGGAGCCAATGTGTGCCTTCACCTACCTGCGCATGTCTGAGAGTCTGTTCCAAGCAGAGAACTGGCGACTGTTTGTTCCATTTGTCAGACATATGCAGGAAGGAAGGACGTTCCAGACTTGGGAGCAAGGTCATCAAGACTCTGAATCTCATGTTCATGCCACGAGACCTATGGTTCAGGAAGCAGTCCTCATGTACCATTAAATTGAGTTGAGGAACAGGACTGTGGCTTCGAAAGCTACTGACCAGTGCGATATATATTTGTGTGTATGTCCCAGCCAGCATCAATGATTGAGATATCTGCAATGTCCCCTCTGCCGTAGTTTGCACCCATTCAAACGTTATCAGTACATAGATAGGTAGATCAATGTCAGATATGGCGACTTTGTACATAGAAATTAGTCGACATGGCAATCACAGGGAAGGTTACAAGGCGAATATCGCTGGTGCAGGCGATGTCTGTAAACTGTAGATTAAGCTTGAAAAAACTTGTGTACAGGATTTTGTAGAATGAAGAAATTCTGCAGAGAGAATGTAGTTGCATCATGTAACATATCACCTCAATGTGTTTAATTGAAGTGAATGTATTCATTTGCTTTATACTTGAACTGTGCTGTAAATTCAATACGTATTGGAATTTATATGAAAACCGTATCTACAGTTCATGAAAAATTATGTTCTTAAGATATGATCTTAAATTGACAATGTCAGATGGTATATTTCTCAAACTCGGTGTGTATCTGAGGACATGGCGGGAAAAGATTCTGATACAAAATAGAAAACATCGTAAACTGTGATATATAACATTTATACTTCGTTTACCAAACACATTATGAGGAAATTTTTTTCATGTAAAAAAAAAGTATTTTAATACTGTGATATAAATCATGTAACGCTCCAGTTCAACATATAATATTCATTGATCTAAGTTACAATCAGATTTTAAATTGGACTTTTGATTTTACTTCCATAGTTCAAGATATCGGTACCCGATCGTTACAGAGATGGAGGTTTCTACACAGACAAAATTTTATACGTTCTAAAACCCTCAACTCGGAGTTAAACCCTCAATCATACGTATTCTATGAGTATTGTAAGTAAACACATAGAATAGTGAAATTGGAGAACAAGCAACCAGCGACTAGATCGGCTCTCTGGTGAACCGGTACAGAAATTAACCGACTGGAGTTCCTTCCTTCCCGAGTTGACTTCAGTAACTGTCGACCGCACTCATGAAAACACATCCCAAAACCTACTCTACTGTGGCGTAATCTGCTCGCGCCAAACCTCCCTTCGAGAATGCAGTCGTCCTAGTGGAAAATAAAAGCTCAAGGGGGTCTTCGTTAAGATGTCGGACAAGTACAGGGGATAGGAGCACACACCATTGCGATTCACAAAATTGTCACACAAAGTTCCAGAATTCGATAGAGTTCTTGCCCGTAGGCGTGCTCGATCGCACAGATTCTCATCCAGTCTTTCACAAACTACGAATGTTCAGTTCCGAACACAGATGACATTCAAATCTATGCCCATCCACTTTTACACGTTCAGAACCTTCTCCGAGGAAAGCACCAAAAAGAACTACGTATGCACTGGAAGATATACGTAAACGCACTGCACTCAAATGCTACAAAATAGCACCCAAACAAATCGATCGCCACAACCACAACTCAAAATAACACCAGTCATCATTCAACAGTCCAGATACTGAACACGAAACCTGTACGCCCGAAGCACGTGCACATGTTACATTCATGTACCAGCCCATGGGCAAGTTTGTAATCTTGACATCTGTCCAGATGCACAGAGCATAAGGTGACACTTAAGGTTTGTAATGTACAAAGAAAGCAAGGCTCCTAAAAGACCTACATTACCGTATAACCTAACTACATTTACCGATCTGGGCAAGCTTCTTCCCCTGTACGCTCTTGCAATCTGACGACCACCTTCGAGGAAGTCACAGGGCTATTTCTCCCATGAATTTTACAAATCGTAATGTAACGAGTGAATTCTCCTGTGAGGCAAAAAGATCAGCCGCGGTGCTCATCCACGTTTCCCGCCCACTACTGTGAAACAATTCGCTGATCCTTCCAGGAAGAGTTAAAAGGTGCTTGCAGCCGATTCCTGTATAACTATGAGAAACAAGAGTACGTGTCTACTAATGCAAAAATGACGCCTGGTATGCTGGAGGAGGAGGAGGCAGCCCACTTCCAAACTGATAACTACTATAGGTAGCGGTAGGGTTGCTATACCCACCTGATCCATACACAGGCGAACCTAATCCTTCAGCAGAATACAAATAAGAACTAGAAAGTGACACGGGACTGCGGCTTCCACCAGTGTAGGTGGTCGAGTACCCTCCCTGTGTGCGCCTATCGTAATTATTTTGCGCAGCCAGGCTGTAAGAAGATACACCTACACCACCCCCATACTGCCCTCTTTCAGAGCCACGGTAATAATTTCTTTCATTAGCGGCAGCTGAACCGCCACCGTAGCCGCCCCCACTGCCACCACTGGCCCTAGGGCGTTTAGTCTGCGCCTTAACAGCAACAGCAGCTCTCTTTCTATCCGATTTGGCCTTCTCAAGTTGTGCGACACGCTTCTGCAGAGGACCAGAGGGGTACTGGCTTTCAAGTTGGTACTCCTCAATGCATTTCAAAACAGCTTTCAACGCGCCAAGTTCCTTCATCGTGGCGTCGTTCTGCAAAGAGATAGATACGTACCAACAACAAAGCGTTGTGAGCTTTTCATATCTGAAAGATCTCGGGCAGTTCTTGCAGCTCGCCCATGATGCTAACTTCAAAGTCTGCCAAACACTCGTACATAGACTCTATTTCCCAAATACCATTGACATTGTGAGACGCGAGATTATAAACAATATAGACTATAAAGAGAGATGGGGAAGCCATCTCTGCACCTCACACACAAACCTAATATGCAAGCATCGGAAAAAAAATTCCATCTACTCGATACATGAATATTACTACTTTGGGGTTTAGGGTTTAGTCAAGGCAAACTTGGTATAACGTAAGTACGTGTCTGAATTATTTGAGATAATATTGTCGAAATTGGTCAGAAACCATGGAGTAAGTCATATTTAACTTCTTTTAAATGTACTAGTTATTACGCGACTGTCTCATCCTGGAGACCGACAAGCAATAAGGAACAAAACAGGAGCATGGCATGGCGTCCTGATGAAAAAAACGGCAAACTCAATCGTCTACTTTCAATGAGTACACAAGGCATACAACTGCATGCTAGTAGTCGAATACGGAAGCAGACAGTAACCATCCTTGGGAGTAAAGGCGCAGGTTAGAGACAGAAGTGGAATAGGCATGAGGTATCGATGGTATATGCACTGCTAGTGCAACGTGCGGTATGGTTTCTCCTGACCGATACAAGAAAATAAATTAATGAAAATCAACAGGATCTGCCCTGGATCGTCACATAAACCTGACTGCTTTATCAATGGGTACCAAGGTGAATAGGTTTCTCCAATTTCAACTAAATTTCGAGTAGTACAAGTCCACCGTAGGGACTTGGCTTGTAATTAACCGAAGGGGCTCTTACAATTTAGTCTTAACCACCAAAACAATTTGTGAACGTTGTTCGGGTTTAGGGTTTACTCATCACCGAAAAAAGCCTTCATGCTGTAAGGCATGAAGTTCATTGATAATCACAACCATGCAGGTAAGTTTTCGTCCACTAATGTGCTTGGAAAGCACGCTGATGTGGACGATATTAATATACGTTTCGGATAATCTAACTAGAGGCAGTCGTTCTGTTTGGGAATAACTGAAACAGGTCAATAGCTTCTTCTCGATGACTTTACACCTGTAGGTTGTGCTCTTGGCTCTTTGAATCTTCCAAACTTCTCGAAAGTTCACTATCAATTGTTTAAAGCACCATATTACTCAAATTTAGTTAGTGAATGAAGTCGCTGTCTCTACTTCGCGAAACTCATATGCTCCACACAAAATTAGTGCTCAGGATTGACTTTCTGATTCATATCCATATCGCATTTTCGGACTTTCAGCTTAGCATTCACGACACATCATCTCCTGATTACCTTGTTAAAGTCATTACGTCGTAGAGGATTCAGGTCGAGAGAGAGAAGTAAAACAGAAATCAACAATGCAATTACACAACGGCTCTTCCATATTCTTTCTGGGCTTTCGTTCTAAACTTGGAACTGAAACACAAACTCCACACAAAATTTTGTGTTTCAAAATCCCCTGATTGACGCCCCAAATTTCCTATATTTCAGTCAGGATTTCATTACTAAAGCATAGACCTTTATGTCTTTCTTACAGGCATGAAAGTGTTTGCTTCCTCCAAGCTTGAAGTTAAGGTAACAAACAACTCCGAAATCACTAACAAAAGGTATCCACAACGGGACGTAGTCTCCTGTAGTACCGACCTGAGCTGCAGCCGAGCTGTTCCCGTTCTTGAGTATGTTTTGTGCTGTCTTTCGAGCTTCCTTCAGATAAGCCTTCAACAGAGGAACAGGTTGGACTCGGTCCATGATACCAAATGAATGAGCGAAAGACAAGGCTTCGATCTGTTTGCCCTCTTTGGCCAACCTGTCCACCACATCTGCCGACAAACACACAATTAATTAAGGCCTACGACCGATACGTTCTATACTGAGACTTGGGCCCAATGAGCCCAATAAGCTTCATGAGGTTCCCTAGGCCTACAGACCATGCTGCGGGGACGGAGGGAGGGTACGGTGGTGTAGTTAACAAGGAAGACAATAAGGGAATGGAGGTAGGTGGAATGCCCAAAGTGATCAGACACCTGCGTGGACAAGATAAGCTCAAGAAGGGATGGCTCAACTTGCCTTCGCAGAGTGCAATCAAGATAAACAATCCAGCCAAATGCTTTGTGAGCCTCCTCTACAACCTCGCAAAACTTGTTAGCGGCCAAGAAGAAGAAAGAGGAAAAACGCTATAACTATAAGCAGGGTTTCTCTTCAGACTAGGTGAGACAGGATGTGAGAATCATCATCTTCAGGTGCAAGCCGATGATCTTGACCTCTGATCAACGAACAGCAAGGGAACCCAGAGTAAGCCTCAAAGAAGCCTAAAAATTAAGGCTACAAAACTTCCAAAATGAGTTAGATCTGTTCTGAGGAACAGCACGCAAACAATGAGTGCCAAGGCAGAGGATACGCAGGAACCAGCGTTGCTGTGATATGTAAGCTAATATTCAAGCATAAAATAGGGAAAATTGATCAGTCAGCCAGCCCAACTTGGATCAGCCTACTACAGATCCACAATTGGGAGAGCCAGGAAGGGCAATCCAGAGAGTGGCCCAGCATGTGCCTCAGCCTCGGATGAAGGCTGACTTGAAAGGGACACCAACCTGGTATCTTGGCCGACAGTCCAAGGGACCGGCAGAGCGCAGGTGACTGCCTGCGCCGCGCAACAGCAGTGACGAGTTTGCACAGCTCATCATCATTATACTCCGAAGCAATACCAAAAGTTGCCAAAAGCTGTAGAAAAGCCTGAGCATCCAAAGAATTGCCAGACGTGGCATCTCCATGGATTGTCATCTTGGACCTCCATTGGTCAGCGACTTCCTTGGCCGACTCCTTGATATTGGAGGGCACCACGGGGTGATCCGCTCCTAGTACAGGATCAGCCAACACCACAGCAAGGCACTCCAGCAAAAGGATGCAAGCACGGCGATTAGCCGATGCTCCTGATTCCTTCTTATCTGCCCCTTGGTTGCTTGCGATGGTCCCCGGCTCTGGATGGTGGTAACCATCCAATGCACTGAGGACCAAGCGTGCAGGATCAATCGCACACTGAAGTGCGGAGGGCAGCTCAGCGCGCAAGGCACCAACATCTTTCCGATGGTCGACAATGTACTTTCTCAGCCCATCACCATCCATGTTCTCGCACAGTGACTTAAGCTGTGGACGCACCCTCACCTCAGGCACTACTGCTTTCACAGCGGGAGTGCTAGTAGTGTCGGTCTTGCCTGCATCCTTACTAACGGCATCGTTGGCCGGTTCCTCTTTTACAGAGACAGTTACAGTAGTGGCAGCGGGAGCTCCAGAAGGCTTTGGCGATGATACATCGACCTCCATGGCCTGAGCACTAGTAAGACCATTAGAAACTGCAACGGGGGGTTCTGCCTTGATAACTTCCACTACATGATTGACATGATTGACAGCGGGCGTCTCAGTAATGGCGTTCTGAGCGGCCTTAGCAGCAGCTTCAGCTTCAAGCCGTGATCGTTCTTCCAACCACTTGCGTTTCTCCTCGAAAATCGCTGCTATAGCAGAGTCTTTCTGTTCTTGCACGCGAGACAATGATGCTTGCTCTCTGGCAGAAACGGCCTCTTCCCGTTTGTCAAGGGCCTCGTGTACTTCTTTGGTTTTGGCGTCAAAAGACTTCTCCTTCGCAGCCAGATCTTCCAGACGCTTCTGCACGGCTATTTCAACTTCGGCAAAATGTTCCTCAAGCTCTTTCCATTCCACAGTGCAGCTTGCGAGAGCTGCTCTCTGTATCTCAAGATCGTTAAAGGCTTTCTGCAGACGTTCCTTTCTAGGAGGAACCGCCTCCATAGCTACAGCCAGAGGATCCTCTGTTACTGCCGCCATGTACCTACCAATCTAGGAGGGAAGAACAACTAAGGTGCCGTGGTGATGATGGAGGTGGTGGTTGTCGTTGTTGTTGCTTCACGGCATGAACTTCACACCTGAATCACTACACTACGCCCCCGAATTCAGTCACGAAAACCCTAGCACCGACCAGAGTTCTCTCTCGACCCAGAAAAACAAGAGAAATCATAAGTAAGAGGGGTCACAGCTCCCCAGTAAGTGATCACCGTGCGCCCGGATCCGCGAAGAACTGGAACAGAGGCGAGTGAGTGCCGCTCCTCGATCTGGAATCCAGTCGGGATGGCGAGTGTCTTGAAACCGCAGGAAAGACAGAAGATCAGTCAAAAGGAGCCAGAAAAGCGCAGAACTACGGATGGGGGGGAATGGAGCCGTCGTCCAACAAAGACACGGCCAAGACTATCGACGAGCAGGACAAAGGCAATCTCCGCAACCTATGACCGCAGCGGCTAAAACCAAAAGCTGCGACCCTCCCTACTCGACTGATGTCGCTCGATCGACCATTCCAAGGGCGCAACAAGCAAATCGCTCTATTCCATCTGCTACTCTTCTCTCTCTCTCTCTCCCTCTACCCAACAAAGAAAAAGCCTCCCTCCCTCCTCTCTCTCTCTCTCTCTCTCCCTCTTCTTCTTCTTCTCTCAGCTTCTCTCTCTCTCTCTCTCTCTCTCTCTCTGCTGCTTCTGCTGCTGCTGATCTCTTCTCTCCCTCGCTCGATCGCTCGATCGCTCTTGCTCCGGTGGTTGTGCAAGGCCCGTGCAATCTGCTGCTGCTGCTGCTGCTGCGAGTGCAAGCCACAGAGAGATGGCAGTGCCCTGCGCTCAAGCAAAGGCCAGCAAAGGCGCCCGTCGCTGCACAGCGAGTGCATAGAGCGCAGAGCGAAAGCGAAGGTCGGTGGTGTAACAGATAGGGCGCCGCTCCGCCGCCCGATCCTGCATCTTGCGGCCCCCAGCCTCCTCGCCACGCTGGAATACGCCCGCGTTGCGAACCGCCTACGCCCCGCGCACGCACACCCACTCCCCGATACAGTTTTCCAGCCTACTGCGCAGTTCCTCCCTCTGCCAAGATTCCTCTTTTGCCCACCTGCACCCTCTACGCAGTTCCCGCCCCCCCCCCCCCCGCCCCCAGTACAATACAGTCTAAAATAATGTATTCTGTATTTCCCCTCCCCTCTTCCATAAATTCCCGTTTTTATATGGTCCCGTGGTTTCTTTCCGAGGGCATCGGATTTATAAAATAGTATTCACCCACACAATACAGTATAAAATAATGTATTCCGTATTTTCCCTCTCCTCTTCCATAAATTTCCGTTTTTATGTGCTCCCGCGGTTTCTTTCTGAGGGTACCGGATTTATAAAATAGTGATGAGCTCCGAGGGATTGTGATTTCTTGGAAATGCTGTCGGGTCGCTCGCTCCCTTGGCATTTTCGATACATCGAGAGAACGGTCGGAAAAATGCCATGCACTAAGCGCAGACGGTACTGTACCGGGAGTACGGTAAAAAACCGTACAAATTGTCTCGTACGCTGGAAAGGGCGACGGGTGCAAAAAGGCGGAAAAGAAGAAAATTAATGGTTTAATATATGAGGACCTGCGAGGTGACTGCGAGAGGTGACGATGTTGTGAACTGGCCTTTGCTATGAAGGGTTCGCTGGTTCGCTGTGTAACCAGGTTAGTGGCAGTTGCTACCGGTCGCCCACTGCCAACGAATGTGCACGGCCAGCTGCCCTGCACATATCTCACCTGGACCCTAGAGGCGCATAGGACAGCCAGTCTCCACTAACGAACGAGGTTCGATACGGAATGTTCGACATATTTTGTCGATGGAAAATTCTGTTTTGTGCAAATGTGCCCTACCAAATACGAGTCCAATGCTTGCTAAAGCTCAATACATTTAAAGCTCCCCTTTAACATGTCACATCAAAAGCGAATAAATGCATTTACTGCTCGACGATTATCTGTCTGCATGATAACATACCAAACCTCCCATAATCAAAACCAATGTACATATTCATATATGGTTTGTCCTACATCATAATTTCTGTATTTATAGTATTTGCAGCTTCAAGATATGAATAGGGTGTCAAAAGCAACTATTCATGACTTCGTTGAACATCGGTCTCAATTAACGAATAATCCATTTGAATTTTTCTTGATTCTTGTACATAATCTCGGCCAGCATAGATTGGAAGACAGAATGAGTTGTTTATTTTCAATGTGGGCTTCCAGAATTGAAAATGATGTGTAACATTATGGCTCAAGAGAGTAATTAGTTGAAATATAGAACATAATTTTCAAAATGAAAGATCCATGATGGATTCCACTTTTCCTTATATAATTTTTCAAACACATACATTAAAATAATCTTTACTCTCCACCATCCTTTTCATTTATAGTTTATTGTATATTACATTATATATATATATTATTGTACTCATTATGTAGAACATGATGGTTAATTATATATAAATATATTTCATAACTAAAGATGATTTCATGATGTTAACTTTATTTTGTATTTGCAAGAAAACTTGCTTCGTACAAATCCACATTATTTTAACATGATTATGTTGTTATAAAATTACACTAATGATAAAAAAAATCTTTGTATGATCATTCATTGTCAATATTCTTGTGAACGCTTGATAATTTCAAAAATACAATCTTGCCTATTGGAATAATGGATGAGATTTTATTTGGTTGAAGCTCAATAGAAACAACACGTAGCACAAAGAATTTGCATAAAGTTAATGTTATCCAAATCACAAAGAATAGAAAATAAATATCATGGCCTCATAACAAGCCTTGATCCTAAATTTCAATCATTATTGGTGGAAAGTTTAGATTAAGGATCAACTATAAGATAACATATTAATTTAAGTGCGGTGTTTCTTTTTTTTTCTAATATTTAAATATAAATAATATGATATTACACTTTATATACCAAAATTTAAATTTTTTTAATTACAAATAAAGCATAAAATAATTTTTGTCATATATTGCTTGGGCATCAAAGTAAGTTTTACATCCTAAAAAAATATTATTTCCTTTTTATAAAAAATATAGTTTAATGTTTAAAATAAGATAATAGTTTTGAACAAATATGACATGAATTGAGAATATCTTTTTTGAAAATAAAGTATATTTATTCTCGTGATGTTTTGAAAAGCTCTTTCAATAAATGTATTTGATATAATATTCTTAAATTACAATCACATCACAACTTGAATCATTAACAACTTCTTTATGCCACAGAGCTTATACATATCTATATTGAACATTTGAATCACCCATGTGAAATGTCTGAATAGTTTTAAAGTACAAAATCATTTCGATCATTTTAAATTTAAACTATTATCACATCATGGTTTTCCAATATTTTGTTTGGCCATTAGTTTGTTAGCATAAACAATTATGGTTTCATTTTGAAATTGAAGTAAATCCTACAATAAAAGCCCTGTAAAATTATTATCTTAAACATAAAATTGATAAGTTATATTTTCAGTAAGTTGTTGGAGAAAAGAAAATATCTTAAATAATTGCAAAAATTTGAAGCAAGCAATAAATTTGGGTTATATCATAACACTAATATGCACAAAACAGAAATGATATAAATGTGATATCTTCAGGTATATGTTTGCATCTCATCAATTTTCGCAACATTTTTTAATTTTGTTGCTTGATCAAAAATAATGAAAAAAATACAAATCAATATTCTTTTATTTGCATCAGAATTTTTCATACATAAAATTTATTTTATACTTGAATGATAATTTGTGATATTGAGTTGATTGAAGCTTGTAGAAGATAATTTTATACTTATTGTTACAACGTTTTGAGTTAAGTTTTAGCATTTTTTACTCGTGGTTGAATGATCGTTTGCATAGTTATGAATGCAAATTTATTGAATTGATATAATTATGACTTATTCTTTAGAACTTAGTAATTTCATGGATTTTTCCATTTACATAATCATTTCACTACACATAAATCTTTCTATTATATTTTATGACATATTGTCTGGGAACCTTGGTTCAAATATTTGTTGATACTAGATTATCATATTTTATTTGAATCTCAGAAATTGAACACATTCAAGCATAGATTTAAGATGTATGCTTACTTTTTTCATATCAACCATAACACCAAGTGTGCATTTGATATTAAATTGAACCAATTTTTGAAAATATATTTATGTTAAAAAATTATATAAAAGTAATAAATTTGTTTTACATATGATATATAACTAATTATTGAATAAAAATAAATATTTAATGTCAAATAATCGTAATGATATGTTTTATCTAATCCAGTAAATATGAATAAAATATGTTATCTTGATATATGATTTGATCTTAATACGAAGATCTGAAAAAATTCTGAAAATGTAAAATATATAAATCGGTAGTAATTTAAAAAAATTATATCACTAATATTATTTAGGCTTTAATCGTTTACATTTATCATTTTGTGAGCTAAAAAAATGTTTGCCAAAATTTGAATATAATTATAAATGTAATATAAAAGGTTAAATTCTCACTTAGATTTATAGTCATGTAAGATTGTTATATAATCCGTGAATACTACATATTATTCATAGAGAATAATTTATGTTTATTGATTATTGTGATCTTAAAATATAACATTTATGCTATTATATGCTCAAATAAATATTTAGGTAATTTAATAAAAATTATATGTTTATTTTATCTTTAAATAGACTCAAAACGGTCTTGTTTTAGTTTTCAGCACTGATAATTTGCAATGTGTGATGTTCAAATTTGTATAGATGAACTTTTATTTTATTGATTTGCACCATAATATTAATGATAATATCAAAGTCTAATATTTTTCTACAAATATTTAAATTTAAAACATTTTCGGATAGTCGACGGATGTTTTCATTATTAGATAAAATATTCAAAATAGCAAAAATGTTTCAATGTGAAAAAAGGAAAGCACTTGAGAATAGTTTTAATGATTGTTCGATTCAACATTCTATTCACTGCATTGTGAATGTATGTGATGATATCATCTACACTCATACTTCAACTTCAATTCACAAATCTAATTAGAAAATTGTATATTGATCTATAAATCTTGATGAACATCACTATCTAATATTTCCAATGTCTTGACAAAAATTCTAAAATTATGCATCTTTAAATCATATTTTGAATTATTTATGTACAACTGGAAAAGTCTTGTATACCATAAAGCAATAACCAGTTAATGTATTCTGGAGTATATTTACCTGTCAATTCAAATTGCATGTCTTAAAAATTATACATTTATGGATTATAAACCAAATAATTATGATTTAATTACAATCCAATTACACGAATGACTCGTTCTGCAGAACTAACAGACAATATTGTACAGATAAACATAATCAAATATTGATAATTCTTTATCAAAATTCAATTTTCATCATTTCAAATCCACACATAATATTTCAAACCAATATCATATGATATATGATTATGTATAAATACAATGCTTGTTACGTAGACTGAATGGTGCAAATATGAGTGGATGTTTCTTCTTGATGCACGATGTATGTATAGAAGCAATATTGTTTTTAGTACTTGTTTATATTTTTAGATCTGATTTTGTTTTAAATTTCTGATAAGTTAGTATATAATCAAGCATAAGTTAATAAAATCATACTTTCACTTCCACGTAATACCTCATGACGGTGGATATATATGCAACTCACCATATTGCAAGACTTTGAGATCGTCATATATTAAGTCCAATGATACTTTCAATTATAATATTATAATAAGTTAATGTGAAGATTGCAAGAGTGAGAATAATAATAAATTGAACATTCATGACCAATCCTTTAATATGTCCATGATCTTGTTAATAATAGTTGATTACAAACTTCTGAAGTCTCTTTCATCCATCAACATAGATAAATACATTTAAATTCGAATCACAACTAGCAGCACACAAGCATGATTTGTTTATGTGACTGTTCATTATGCAAATTTAAACTTGTTTCATGACAAGTCAGTTCGCAACGAGATTACTAAAGTTCATGGTTCAAATTTGCAACCTTTTGAGAATCTAAATCAAGGCCTTAAGCATGAAATGTATCCATTTCAAATGTATGGCTGTAAAACTGTTGTAGATGAACTCATCCAACATACCAGATCAAACTGGAAAAAATGGACGTAATGAATTACAATAACAAGTCTATGAAATTAAGAGAAGGTGACTGCAACCTACGAGTAAAAGAACCAAAAGAATGTCAATATAAGCGACGACCGTTACGAGTGATCGAAATATTCGTACGACTTCAAAGAAACCACGTGAATGAATTGGCATTCCACACAATTAATCCACCGTCATATTGACATGCATAAAACCTCACCTCATGGATAAATTGCAGCTAAAAATAATAGAATTGAGAAGCACTTGTCGTCTTGAAATAGGAGGGCTCCTTTCTTAATGCTATTATTATATTTTTCAACAAAACCAATAGATAGTAACTTATTCAAGTAACTCACCAGCAATTTATCAAGAATGCATTCAGTAAATTTAGTGTTATATTATTGCCACAATTTCATTGCCTTATCTAAAGAAACCTAGTGAATATTGCGAAGTTCTATCAAAACATAAGAGAGTTCCCTAAAAAGTAGACAAAAAAAAAAGTGTAGCCTTGCAGGAACCTCAAATCTGGCAAACCAAGGGGACGAAAGCGGAGCGGGCGAGCCCACAATTACGATAAATGGGCAGTATATCAGAAAGGATGGGATGACTCCATCGAGCGGTACAGGGGAAGGGTGGAAAAAACCCGATAATTGTCGAGTTAATTAAAGAACCTGATTTTAACAAATATTTTAATTGATTAAAATTTAATACTATTATGGTAATATTTACATATTGTCGATTTTCAAGCGCGAATATTTCTCAAAGCTTTTCGTTCCGTTGTAAATAGATTTTCGTAGTTTGATAAAATTTATTATTTCGATAACTTTCATTTCAATTGTTTTGTATTTAAAATTATGCTAATAATGTATCTCACTTGCTATTAAATTAAAGACACACTAATAAAAATTTATTAAATTGACAATAAATAATTACGGGTTTTTTCAGAAATATCTTTTTAAAATTGAGGGTGCAAGCAAGCCCTGGTACAGGGATGAAACCGAAGGGCTAAGGATGGGTCCAGAGAGCACTCCATAACTGGGAGCTGCATGCACGAGGCAACGACGAGCATGTCGTGGAGGGAAGCACGGTCAAAAACCCCGAAGCTCTCTGCAGCGCGAAGGACTTGCCCTAAACCCTAAACAATCCAGTCGTGGTTCTCCCCGTCGAGTATCGATTTGGGCTCGGACGTGAGCGTCTGGCAGGATCGATGAATGGCCCGAGATTCGTCGGGATCGATTTGTCGGTCGAGACTGGATTGTTCGTTCGTGGGCTGTAGGTGCCGTCGAGGGAGGGAGGGCGAGGGTTTACAGGTCGGAACGACTGCGGGATTGAGAAAGATAGAAAAGTAATCTGGCGAGGAGGTGAAATTCTGGAATTTGAGGAGAGGGTCGAAAGATGGCTCACCTCGGAGGAGGAGCAGAAGCGCATGCGCGGTTTAAGCAGTATGAATATAGGGCTAATTCGTCACTCGTGCTCACCACTGACACGAGGCCCCGAGACACCCATGAACCCACAGGTGAGCCTGAGAGTTTGTGGGGAAAGATCGATCCGAAGTCTTTCGGCGATCGTGTTTATCACGGACGACCCCAGGAGCTAGAGGAAAAGCTCACCAAGGCGAAGAAGAAAAGGGCCGCGAAGGAGAAGGAAAAATCGTTCGTAGATGTTCCCAAGAAGGCCAGCAAGAGACAGCGGGCCTCGCAGGATGAGAGCGTGTTTTCCATCGTCGATGATGGGATGTACAGACCGAAGACCAAAGAGACGAGAGCTGCGTACGAAGCTCTTCTTAGCACTATACAGCTCCAGTTTGGCGATCAACCGCAGGATATCCTGAGAGGGGCAGCGGACGAGGTGTTAGCTGTTTTGAAGAATGACAAGTTCAAGGACCCAGACAAGAAGAAGGAAATCGAGAAACTTTTGAACACTATGTCCCAGGAGCGATTTACGCAGCTTGTTTCCATAGGAAAGCTGATAAGTGACTACCACGAAGCGGGGGAGGGAGTCGTGGGTGGAGCCGGCGAGGCTCTAGATGATGACATTGGTGTTGCCGTGGAGTTCGAGGAGGAAGAAGAGGAAGAAGAGAGTGATTTAGATGAAGTTCAAGAGGAGAGTGACGGAGAGGATGATGGGCAGGAAACGCACGAGAACAAGGGTATGCAGATGGGAGGGATCGACGACGAAGAGATGGAGGAAGCCGATGAGGGGTTGAATGTACAGGATATTGACGCATACTGGCTGCAGAGGAAGATCTCTCAAGCATATGGAGACATTGATCCTCAGCAGAGTCAGAAGCTTGCCGAGGAAGTTTTGAAGTATCTCGCAGAAGGAGATGACAGAGATGTAGAAAATAGGCTGGTCATGCTTCTAGATTATGATAAATTCGATTTAATCAAGCTCCTCTTGAGAAACAGGCTGAAAGTAGTTTGGTGCACTCGACTAGCCAGGGCCGAAGACGACGAAGCCAAAAAGAAGATAGAAGAAGATATGAGCGATGAAGGACCTGCTATGGCAGCCATTCTTGAGCAGCTTCATGCCACTAGGGCAACTGCGAAGGAGAGACAGAAAAATTTAGAAAGAAGTATTCGAGAGGAGGCCAGGAAGTTGAGAGATGGAGAGGTCAGTGGGGAGGGCGACAAAGGCAGAAGGTCTGAAACATATGGAGCTTCGGAGGGTGGCTGGTTGAAAGGGCAGCGCCAGCTATTGGACCTGGAACAGCTTTCCTTTCATCAAGGAGGTTTCCTCATGGCCAACAAGAGATGTGAACTTCCTTCGGGTTCCTTCAGAACAGCGAAGAAGGGTTATGAAGAGGTGCATGTTCCCGCTCTCAAGGCTAAGCCTTTTGCAGATGGCGAGGAATTAGTGAGAATTGCCGACATGCCGGAATGGGCACAACCAGCTTATGCTGGAATGACAACCCTGAATAGGGTACAGAGTAAGGTGTATGAAACTGCGTTGTTTACGCACGAGAATCTCCTACTTTGCGCTCCAACAGGAGCTGGTAAGACGAACGTGGCCATGTTAGCTATACTGCATGAAATTGGATTGAAAAGGCGAGAAGATGGCTCCATCGACTTGAATGGATTCAAGATAGTGTACGTTGCTCCCATGAAGGCTCTTGTTGCCGAAATGGTGGGAAATTTATCCAACAGGTTGAAGGACTTCGGAGTCTCCGTGAAGGAACTCACTGGTGATCAAACTCTTTCTCGACAGCAAATCGAGGAAACTCAGATTATCGTCACCACGCCAGAGAAGTGGGACATTATCACTCGAAAGTCAGGAGACAGGACTTACACACAGATGGTAAAGCTTTTAATTATTGATGAGATTCACCTACTGCACGACAACCGTGGCCCTGTTTTGGAGAGCATTGTCGCGAGAACTGTGAGGCAGATCGAGACCACACAAGATCCCATTCGGTTGGTGGGTCTGTCTGCCACTTTGCCAAATTATGATGATGTCGCAATTTTTTTGCGGGTAGATAAGACCAAAGGACTCTTTCACTTCGACAACAGCTATCGGCCTTGCCCTCTGGCTCAACAGTATATTGGAATCACTGTGCGCAAGCCTTTGCAGCGGTTTCAGTTGATGAACGAAATCTGCTACGAGAAAGTAATGGAGGCTGCTGGCAAGCATCAGATACTGATATTTGTACATTCTAGAAAAGAGACTGCCAAAACTGCCCGAGCCATTCGAGATGCTGCCCTTAGCAACGACACGCTAGGACGATTCCTGAAGGAGGACAGTGCAAGCAGGGAAATTTTGCAGACCGAAACTGAAGCAGTGAAGAGTACTGATCTTAGAGAACTGCTTCCTTACGGTTTCGCAATACATCACGCTGGTATGGCAAGACAAGATCGTACTCTCGTGGAAGATCTTTTTGCAGATGGCCACATTCAAGTTCTTGTCTCTACCGCCACATTAGCCTGGGGTGTGAATCTTCCTGCACACACCGTGATCATCAAAGGAACGCAGATTTACAATCCTGAGAAAGGATCTTGGACGGAATTAAGTCCTTTGGATGTTATGCAGATGCTAGGTCGTGCTGGTAGGCCACAGTACGATACCAACGGACTGGGTATTATAATCACTGGTCATCCCGAGTTGCAATACTACTTGTCGCTCATGAATCAGCAACTTCCTATTGAAAGTCAGTATATCTCCAAGCTGGCTGATAATCTGAACGCTGAAATTGTGCTCGGAAGTGTCCAAAATGCTCGTGAGGCTTGTACATGGTTGGGATACACTTACCTCTACATCAGAATGCTGCGCAACCCGACTCTGTACGGTGTAAGCGTCGATGCGTTGAAGTCAGACACCACGTTAGAGGAGCGACGAGCTGATCTCGTGAGTAATCTGCAGATTCGGCTTGTGTATCCTGCCATGATGCTCTTGAGGATGAATGCGAATTTGAGCAAGCAAATGGAGATGTATTTAATCGAAGTGCATGAGAGTCCCTAATGAGCTTGCCATGCTTATTTTTTTGCAGATTCATTCAGCCGCATGCGTTCTCGACAAGAATAATCTCGTGAAGTACGATCGGAAGGGTGGCTACTTTCAAGTCACTGACCTGGGACGTATTGCTAGTTACTATTACATCACTCATGGGACCATGGCCACTTACAATGAGCATTTGAAGCCTACCATGGGGGATATTGAACTCTGTAGATTGTTCTCCCTTAGCGAAGAGTTCAAGTTTGTGTCAGTCAGAGAAGAGGAGAAGATGGAGCTCGCGAAATTGCTGGATCGGGTGCCGATCCCTGTGAAGGAAAGCCTAGAGGAGCCTAGTGCCAAAATCAACGTTCTGTTGCAGGCTTATATCTCACAACTAAAGCTCGAAGGATTGTCCTTGACATCGGACATGGTGTTCATTACCCAGGTAGATTATAATTTTTGTGCTGTTTTCTTTCACTGGAGGTTAAGTGTCCGAAGCTTTCTGGCAAATGTTTAGAAAATCATAGCGAAGTATTAAACGTCAGTAAAGTATTAATTATTTTCGTGCATGTTGGTCTACAGAGCGCTGGTCGTTTGATGCGCGCACTATTCGAGATTGTGCTGAAGCGTGGGTGGGCACAGCTGGCCGAGAAAGCGTTGTCCTTGTGCAAAATGGTTCAGCGTCAGATGTGGAGCAGTCAGACGCCCTTGCGTCAGTTCAAGGGCATACCAAATGACATCTTGAGCAAGGTTGAGAAGAAGGACCTGGCGTGGGACCGCTACTATGATCTTTCTTCGCAGGAAATTGGAGAACTCATAAGATTTCCCAAGATGGGAAAGACCATACACAAGTTCATTCATCAGTTTCCAAAGCTTGAGCTGGCAGCTCACGTGCAACCTATCACCCGTTCTATTTTAAAAGTTGACCTTACAATCACTCCAGACTTCCAGTGGGATGAGAAAATTCACGGCTATGTGGAGCCATTTTGGATCATAGTAGAGGATAACGATGGAGAAAACGTACTCCACCACGAGTACTTCTTGCTCAAGATGCAGTATGTGGAAGAGGACCACAACTTGAACTTTACCGTTCCCATCTACGAGCCGCTGCCTCCACAGTATTTCATCAGAGTAGTTTCTGACAAGTGGCTTGGCGCTGAAACTGTGCTGCCTGTCTCGTTTCGGCACTTGATATTGCCAGAGAAATACCCACCACCTACTGAGCTTCTTGACCTTCAGCCTCTGCCAGTGTCTGCTCTGCGAAACCCTTCGTATGAAGCCCTCTACCAACAGTTTAGACACTTCAACCCGATACAGACGCAGGTTTTCACGGTCTTATACAATACCGATGACAATGTTCTTGTAGCAGCTCCTACGGGAAGTGGTAAGACTATTTGTGCTGAGTTCGCTGTTCTTCGAATGCTACAGAAAGGAGGAGAGAATGGCACTAGTCGCTGCGTGTACATTGCTCCTGTGGAGGCTCTGGCTAAAGAAAGGTACAGAGACTGGGAAGGCAAATTTGGGAAGGGCCTTGGAGTCCGAGTTGTAGAGCTTACTGGTGAAACAGCTACCGATATGAAGCTTTTGGAGAAAGGACAGATCATCATCAGTACACCGGAAAGATGGGATGTCCTCTCCCGACGGTGGAAGCAAAGGAAGCATGTACAACAAGTCAGTCTTTTTTTGGTGGACGAACTTCACCTGATTGGAGGTGAAGGAGGTCCTGTCCTAGAGGTGATTGTTTCTAGGATGCGCTACATTGGAAGTCAGCCGGACAGTCAGATTCGTATTGTGGCTTTGTCTACGTCTTTAGCTAATGCGAAGGACCTTGGGGAGTGGATAGGCGCCAGCTCACACGGACTGTTCAACTTTCCTCCCGGGGTGCGACCAGTACCTCTTGAAATACATATTCAAGGTGTGGACATTGCAAATTTCGAAGCTCGTATGCAGGCAATGACCAAGCCTACTTACACCGCAATTGTCCAGCACGCAAAAGGTGGAAAGCCCGCTTTGATATTCGTGCCCACGCGGAAGCATGCTCGGCTCACTGCTTTGGATCTGGTTACTTACTCAACAGCAGATGGTGGAGAACGACCTCAGTTCTTGGAGTGCACTGAAGACGACTTGGCTCCATTCCTGGCCAAAGTCAAAGACGATGCATTGAAACACGCTCTGAGTAATGGTGTCGGTTATCTACACGAGGGTTTGAGTCTCATGGAACAGGAGGTCACAGCTGAGCTCTTTAAAGCTGGTGCTATCCAGGTGGTTGTTGCCAGCAGCAGTATGTGTTGGGGTATGACATCTTCAGCACATTTGGTAGTGGTGATGGGTACGCAGTATTTTGATGGGCGTGAGAACGCTCACACAGATTATCCAATTACAGACCTTTTGCAGATGATGGGTCGGGCCAGTAGGCCACTGCTCGATACATCGGGAAAATGTGTGATTCTTTGCCACGCACCAAGGAAGGAATATTACAAGAAGTTCTTGTACGAACCTTTTCCGGTCGAAAGTCATTTGGATCATTACCTACATGACCACCTGAATGCGGAAGTAGTGGTACGGACCATCGAGAACAAGCAAGACGCAGTGGACTACTTGACCTGGACCTTCATGTATAGAAGGTTAACTCAGAATCCAAACTACTACAACCTACAGGGAGTGAGTCATCGTCACCTTTCAGATCATCTCTCAGAGCTCGTGGAGGTGACAATTTCTGAGCTGGAGTCTAGCAAGTGTGTGATGATCGAAGATGATATGGACCTTTCCCCTCTGAATCTGGGTATGATTGCTGCATACTATTACATCAATTATACGACGATAGAGCTTTTCAGCTCTTCTTTGACAGCGAAGACCAAGATGAAGGGTCTCTTAGAGATCTTGGCTGCAGCATCGGAGTATTCACGGTTGCCTATGCGACCAGGTGAGGACGAGATGGTGCGCAAGCTCATAAACCATCAGAGGTTCTCAGTGGACAAACCCAAGTACGCAGATCCTCATGTTAAGGCAAATGCTCTTTTGCAAGCCCATTTCTCGAGACACACGGTGTCCGGCAACCTAGCTCTGGATCAACGAGACGTTTTGGTCGACGCCAGTCGCTTGCTACAAGCTATGGTGGACGTGATATCCAGCAGTGGATGGCTAAATCCTGCCCTCGCGTCGATGGAGCTCAGCCAGATGGTTACGCAGGGTCTCTGGGAGCGGGATTCCGTTTTACTGCAGTTGCCTCATTTTACCAAGGAATTAGCAAAGAGGTGTCAGGATAACCCTGGGAAGCCTATTGAAACTGTCTTCGACCTTGTTGAAATGGAGGATTCAGAGAGGAGGGAGCTTCTGCAGATGACCAGCGCACAGTTGCTGGATATCGCCAGAGTTTGCAATCGATTTCCGAACATTGACCTTGGATATGATGTACTGGACAAGGAGGACATCTCCACGGGAGAAACGGTGACCTTGCAAGTCACTCTCGAGAGGGAACTGGAGGCACGGCAGGAGCTTGGGCCTGTGGATGCACCGAGGTTTCCTAAGCCCAAGGAGGAGGGTTGGTGGCTGGTGGTTGGAGAGCCGAAGAACAATCAACTTCTAGCTATCAAGCGAGTTTCCTTACAGCGGAAAGCCCGAGTGAAGCTTGACTTCACAACTCCGTCTGAACCTGGGAAGAAAACGTACACCTTGTACTTCATGTGCGATGCCTACCTTGGTTGTGATCAGGAGTACGAGTTCACGATAGATGTCAAGGAAGGCGTGGATGACGAGGATGAGGGGAAACCTATGGAGCAGTAGCTTGAACTTACTTCAGGAATGCGAATTCTGGTGTGGGTATTCCAGTTTTTAATGGCGATGTAGATAAATACCCACGTGTATTACACATCTGTATCGTTCACCTGCCTTTTTTTCCAGGTGCTTTGTAACATAGTTGCTGAGATGCTGTGATTCGTGTATGTATCTGTTCTATGTGAGACATGCAAAATATTCCTAATGAACAAATCTGAAAAGTTTTTCTGAAAATAGGGAGATATTTCAGCGGTAGAGACTTCAAAGAATATTATAATTGTTATGACTGATCGGGTTGGGATATATGGTCTTTTCATGTCCTACATCGATGTATCCATTTTGGTGTAGTGGCTATCAGAGATTATGGAAACAAAGGTAAACCGAGAGCGGCACAGGTAAGAGCACCAGAAATGAACCTGAGTGTCTGTGAACCTGTATTTGGTTCTCAATTTGGAGAAATAACATCTATAAAGAGGAGTCCCAGATAAGATCCACGGATACCATCACCATATAAGAGAGGAGCTGCAATAAAAGTATCGCGCCACGCGGAATAGTGTCTCGCTTGACTTGCTACATGATGAGCACACCACCCTAACTTGTCTAACAGCATGAGGCAGTTCTGATGGCTGCGTAATTTAACTAAGATCACCTTTACCACAGTAAGGAAAGGCCCATTCTAAGATATTTCTATTCAAAAACACTAAAATGTGGAGTGTAGGGTCATGTATGTTGACGGAAAAACTTGGACCACAATGTGGTCCAAGTTCACAACATCACTATAAGGCAATCCTTCATAAGATTACAATGTTTATTGCATGCATATAAAACTTTCTTATGTATTTAACTTTTATTAACGGCTTCTAAGTCTTACCGCTTTTGAATTAAAATGATGAAAATGAAGACCGTAAATAAATATGATATTATGCACAGGAGGATAAAGTCGAAGATTACAATATTTCGAGCTTAATGAATCTGGACACTGAATTTCAGATCGTATTGCGCAAATTGTTCACGTCTAAAACCATCCAAGAATTTCTAAATTATATATGAATTTTAAAGAAACGAGTAAAAAACAAGTTTTATTCTTTCATAAGTCTTTCATTTCATAAAATTGTGCTCCAGATCATATCATTTTGATACACGATTAGTATTACGAGCTCTACTTATGTTGTGAATCGTTTTATACAATATGAATTTATTTCCATTGATTGTCTGACAAATACTTCAAATTGACTAGCATACCTAATTTATTTTTAAGTACATCTCCGCAGGACAAAGCTGTGATAATGTATATCTCAAACATTTTGATGTATTAACTTCATTTAGTTATCGATAATTGTCGATTTCGAATCGATATTTAAAAAGACTTGTATCTTAAGGTATGTACTTATACGCTTAGCTACTAATTAATTGCATGATCAACTAGAATTGAGCTGAATAATCATTTTGCATGGTTTACAAAAATTACGAATAATGTGTGACAGATGTGATATTACCATGATCTTTTGAGATCATTTTGTATAAATTACGTCACATTCAGTTTGCTATAATCCAAATCATGATTACAAATGATTTTCAACCAATTAAATGAAACTTGACAATACATCTACGTACCTATAGAAAAGACAAGACACTTTTTCAAAATTTCAAAATAACTACAAAACTTTGATGATGGTTACATCGATATTTGAATTTAACATTTTAATTCATATGATATAACTGAGAGTAAGACGTTTAGAGATCTACACCTGGTGACGGAGATACAGCAAGTATCGCCAAAGTGTGTTGACATGAGCATCTTCCATCTTCTTTCAACTTTCAAGTCATGGTCCTTAGGCCAAGCATGGTCATACTCTTACCCTGAATCTTCCGTACTTTTTGGTGTTTTGTCTTACAAGTTTTTACCCCAAGGGCTAAAGATTCTCCATGACAAAGATGTTCCAAATTTATCTAACAGCACGAAATAGATTAAATCTTTTCATTAGAAGAACAAGAAAATAATCGAGAAAAATGCCTATTATGTACCAAGATGAACATTATTTGCAAAACGGTACTTTGTTATGACCGATGAGGAGTGCTACTTCTTGCGAAGGGAAGTTAAGAATTTTGGACTAGTTTCCCAACTCAAAACTCAGCTACGCTCATGATCTTCACCGCAACCGATTGTATTACAATAAATTACATTACTTGTTAGATCTCCAGACTTGAGTTCAGTTACCAATCTACCAGAAAGGTAAAATGTAAACCTCAGAAGTGCGGCCGGACGGAGAACAAATTGGATTACGAAGTACGAAGTTCGCAATTCCAAATCTCTAAACCAGGCTAAAAGAGTACTGTAGATGTGGTTACATGGGTTGGTAGCAGATCAAGCTGTATGTCTCGATGAAGGTTACCTACATTAAGTTGTACAGCAGAGAACGTAGCCGATCGATGTTTTCCACAAAAAGTTCACATCCCATCGCTCGTCGCCACGGTGGCTGATTTGAGGTATTTGCAATACCTCAAATCGGCCACCAAAAGAGTACGTCGGTGTGATATCGATTCTTCTCGATCGCTATATCTGAGGACTTAAATCCAGGAAACGATAAACGTTTTTCTCTCAAGCTCGTTCAACGACGAACCTCCATATTCATCAAACTTGAGTGAAGCTTCGACTCCTTCGGAATACAAACTCACAAACTGCTTGACTGGGGCAGATCACAATCCAGTCTCAGCGACCGTGCATGTCATCCATATAATTCGCTACACACATTAAGAAAGCAGAAAGTTGCCACCTTAAACATCAATGGTCCTACATTTCATCACGTCCACTCGCAGCTTGCATGGTGCAAGCGAGTGTGGATTGGAGCGTGGGATCAACTTCTGACACCGAAAGTCTCCGTATATTCTTCCCCGGGGCAGAGCAGGAAGGTGTCGTCAACCTCACAAAAAAAGTCTGTCAGTATACGACATCCTCGACAATGGATTGTGTTTGAGACGAAATAAATACTTGCTCTCACCATAAGCACCACATAGGAAAACGAAGTTCTTAAGTGAGCTGGACGGTGGAGGATCCATTACTATCTGCTTCATCTCAACTGCACCAACTAGTATGGCGTGGGACCGCCAGAAACCCACAACATTTCATAATTCTAATTACAGTCCTACCTGTCGACGCTACCGAGGTTACAAAAAACCGGAGTTTCTTTGATTCCTACAAATGTGTCAGCATATTACAGTAACTGGTCTCGACCAATAAAGGAACCGCCACAGACGGTTGGATCATGAATTTAGACCCTGTGACTGTATACAGTCCTACATTGGTACAAGCAGTGTCCACTCCCAGAGCCTGGGTGCTGTATGAAAGGAAACCATTTGGAAAATGATCGTAAAAAACACATGAGACATGAAAGAATTTACAATCTCTACTAAGCTTATGTGGAGTAAACCGACTTCAATGGATGTATCAGTTGTTCTGAACCTTTGTGATGTTAGAGATCCACTAGTTTTGAAAAGCCATCGAAGGCCAATGGCCTGAGATTTTCTGGAGATATCACTGCGGAGAGTGCAAACAAATGGATTTCCAAAATCGTGAAAACATAGTCACGTCAAGATTAGCCAGCCTCCAACTTTCATCGAGCCATCGAGGACCAAAAATCTGCATGTCCTACAACCTAATACGACTGTTGCAGCTGGAGTAAGTTGTACTTCAACCTGGTAACAATCAGTGAGCTTGTGATGAAGAAGAGGTCAGTAGCTCCATGGACTTCCTGAGATACTCTATAGCAGTAGGCACATCATCGAACGCAAGGGCACTCACTGCAAACCTTGCTGCTTTGTGTGCTTCCGCAACTTTATCCGGTGTAGGTTGATAGCTACTGGCACTGCCGTATGACTGATTTGGGTAACCTACAGTTGGCTGAGCTACGGGTGGAGCACTCGCCGTTCGGTGGTGTTGCGGGGGCTCCGAGTACCCCATGTTGACGTTCTGAGTTGTGGCTGCCGGTGTAAAGGAGTTGTGAGATGGAGCAGCAGATGGATAAGCAGTCTGAGTTGGAAGTGTGGACGGGTATGCTGTCTGACTGGGTGCTGCAGACGGGTAAGCTCCTGGTTGGAACACGGGTACGGTGGGTGGTGGAGGTGCAGAATATTGTGAATAATTGTTTCCTTGTTCCGTTCCATAGGCTGATGGCGAGTGATGAGGAACGTGAGACGAATAAGAAGGATAGTTGGAGGTATTCGAGCTATTCGAGTTGTAGTCGTCGGGAGAGTTTGCAGGGTAATTGAAAGGGCTGCTGTTTGGCGATTCACCAGGTCTATCGGCTCCGTGAGGTACGTGGGAACGGGTACCTGACCAGTCATGAATAGGAGGTGGTGGGGCACCTGTGTCTTGTCCAGGATACTGAGAAAAGCCAGACGGATATTGAGGAGGCGACGAATTGTGAACCCCTGGATAGATTGGTTGAGAGGGGGCTGAGGGTAGGTCAATGTCGTCTAGAGAACCTGTCCGATTATGCTGAGTAGCATGTGCGAATGGCGCTGTAGATGGAGGTCTCGGCAAAGAGTCAATCGACGAGGTTCGTGGAATTGAGTCCGACCTTGAAAGCTGATGGTTGACGGTCGGAGGTGGAGGTGATCCAGGTTGGAACGGAGGGACATCGGGTGCAACAGCAGGCGGACTGATGTTGCTCTTCTGAGGCGATCCCTACGATCATAAAAATAGACAGCATAAGAAGAAGTCTCGACATGGACAGAACGACTCTAGTTCAATCACTCTCACGACTTATGGCAGCAAATTAACAAACAGAAAAATTAACCCTACAAGTACTGCCGAAGCTAAATAGTTGACATGGAAAGATGCTCAAGAGAACAGCCTAAGGGTTTTATGAACTCAGACTTCATTGGGGAGACATAACTCCGTGTCAGATACTACGTAACCTTCGTCTATTTGTTTTATCGGAGTAAAGCTGGATCCTAGTCTCGGTGTGACAATTCTTATAAAACTTTCCTGCTTTCTCATGTAATGACAGAAAAGCACCACTGATAATATATTATGAAGAATCCTATGAACAACAAACTCCTGTTAATCCATGGCAAAACCATCTACTTTACTTTCGCTCGTTGAACACCTTACTAATATTTCAAACGACACAATATGCCCGCAACACGTTATTTCATTTTCCGAGTGATGGTAAGGTTGGAGAGTTACCTCGGTCTCCCATGTCATTTGTTCCATTTCGGAAAACTGCTCATCGCCAGCTGGGGGGCCGGCAATTGGTTTGCGCCCTTCACTTAAAGCCTTCCGAATATCAGCTGCCTTCCAGGTACCATACCTTTTCTTTTGCTCGATCTGTAGCAATAGTCACTTAGTAAGACAGTGCTCAAGCCCTTTCCATTCCAAAATCTGGGCTGAAGAATGGTCTTATGTAACTCCTACTCCTACAAATGAACTCCTTGTACTAGTAAGCTCCTAGCCTGGGCTTGTTCTATGTGAACATAGTCGAAGTAGAAGTTAATGCAAACTCCTATTCCCACCACAGTTTATCGCCTTATGCTGAACTTTGGAGCTACGTCCTCAGACACTAAACTTAGGAAAAAAGAAATGTCCATACAAAGATGCTAAGCAAACGTGCCCACAAGTGCAAGAACCCTAAATTTCTGAGCATAGGCACCATGGATGAAGACGACCCTAATCTGAAAATGAAGTAACAACTAAAAAACCCCTAAAATATAACCCCTAAAAAGTGAGCGCCGTAGATACTGATGCTCGCCAGCACGCATACTAGAGCAGACGACTGTGGCTTCTAATGATAAGTATTGGTTGGGGCTGGAAAGTTGACACAGCCCCATTATCTAGGTGTACTCACATCAGGAGGTAACTCGCCAAATTGATGAAGGATATCGAAGAAAATGCTTGCTGCATAAAACGTCTTGGCGGTGTTTCTGGGAGCCAAACGACAAGCATAGCATGTTCAGAGAACATATATGTGCAATATTCATTGCCTTTGAAACAGACCTCAGCATAAGCAAGACAAAAGGACTCCAAAGATCAAGCAAGGTTTGGATTCAGATTTGTACAAGTCAGCTCGACCTGCCCTGTCTTGCTTATCAGCTTTGGCGAAGACACTTAAGGCAAATCCTTCCAAATACATATTGTCGTCAGGACTCAATTTTACTACCTTTTTATCCTACACGAACACAATGGACACCAGTCAGAAATATGAAACTAGAACCACTGATATTTTGAAATTCACAGGGGGCATCTGTAGGAGAACACAATTACCACAGCATTGCCGAAGAAAGTCCTGTGCGTGTACCTTTTCAAGTTGTGACATCAGCGACACAAGCAGACCATTTATTGTCTTGCCCCGTTCCTTCACAGGAATTTTCAAGCCCGCTTCCATGGCGAACAACCGACCTGCCAGAAAAAATGACTGTGAAAACTATAACACTTCTGCTGCTCTACCCATTCGTAAAAAAAGAAAACTAAAAAAAAATCTCCCCTGTGCGGAAATTTGGCAAGCGAGACAGACTGAACGAAACTCCACACTGTTAGACACAATCCACTGACGAATAGACAAGTGGAGAGGAAACGCCTAAACGCCTAGCAGGACCTAGTGCGTGCAGAGGCATGATACTTGACAAGTTATCATTTTCCAGTCGCAGAAAAGAGTCTGAAAACTGCGGGGTTTTCTGCAAAAATCTTCATAAACCGTTGTGCTTGACGCTCGTCTAAACCTGGCGCACTCCATCCGAGTTGTAATTGTACTACAAAATAATAATTTCACATATGCGTGGACTTGTGGGAGAATTGGGCAGCGTACACCAAGTAGCTTAAATTCTCGAACTAGAAACAACCAATCGTACTTTTGAAGCATCGAGGGAGTTTGATCCGAAGACCTGGATGCATTCGGTAGCAGAATTCTGGCCATTCCCCAGGTGCGGATTTTCAAGCCGAGAAATCCTCACGGCAAACGACTAGCCTTCGTCATCGTGTACTAGATCGAGAGCGAAAGCTGTACAGGAAAAACATCATCCTGGATTGTATAATTCAGCTGTAGCCACATGAACAACATCCGTGACATGGCTCGATCGACTTACAGTAATACGCCACCAACGGCTCATGCTTTTGCAACTCATCCGCCCTTTGCAAATAAGGCAGAAGAACTTTCTTCGGATCCGCAGTCTCCCCCATTTTGTGGGCGTGGGTCGTATCCCCGGGCTACCAAATCCGACACCACACTCGGAGGGCGGAACGCAGCGAATCCTCGAATCGAAATTCTGCAAGTCGATTCCCGGACGAGGACGGAGAGCTGCGGTGTGGTGCAGCACGATGCTTCTCAATCGACGAAGATGATGAATGACGCTGAGAGACGTCGCGGGAAGCTTCGAGCCCAATCTACCCCCACCTCTCTCTCTCTCTCTCACTCTCTCACACTCCCTCTCCGATTCTCATAATTTACAAACAACGAACACTCGCCTCCCTCCCTCCGCCTGTTGGATGCCTTCACCATCCACCCGGTTGCCACTAACGGATACGTTCAGCCCCGCAGGGGGCGACATGGAAAGGGTTCCGCAACAATAGGGTACAGCACAATAGCGCTCGCCCTGCCACAGGGCAGCCACGCATCGCGTGGCGCTGCCCCGCTGGCTGCCACACCTCGCCTGCCTGCTTAGTTGGCACCCTGGACCCGCTCGCCCCGCTTCGGGACCCGCGCTTCGAGCTACATGTACCATGACGCCAACGTTCGCTCACTCCCCGTTGGCTGGGCTTGAGTCGATTCAGCGTCGAGTTTGTAGTTTCTTTTCACCGAAGCCATGGATGGAACGAAACGGCTAGGAAGGGGAGATGGGGGGCAGGGCACCGACGCATCACAACGACATCTGGCGTAGATGGTTTACAGATATTATTTAGAGAAACATCAGATGAGCATAATAACGAAAATTCTTCGAAGTTTCCTTTCTGTGACCTGTATTCCCTGCTCTCTCTCTCTCTCTATATATATATTAATTACTTTATTTCATTTTCTGTATGCCTACTTTCTTAACCTTAATCGTACGTTAACGAAGTTTACTCTGGAGATCAAAATTGTTGGTTATTATTTGGTTGACAAGAATGTTATAGACTCCAAAAATCTCGAAACTTTTGCAAAGCTCATTCTTAAGAGGAAATACCGAAGATTTTGGATTCTTCAACCTATTCGGGTTCTTGATGGGGATTTTAGAGAACGAGACATAATTTAGTTCATCTCAGTGGAATAAGAGTGGGTGAGATATAATTAAACGTAGAGAGAGCGTCAAATTGAACAATATGATCGAAAGACATGAGAATAAGCAACGAAATAACGATCGCTGAAAGTTGAGTGACTGGAGTTATAAATGACTCGAGATCTAGTTGTAACACACAATTATCATTAAATAATACACTGAACGTAGAGACTGATACACTGTAAGATCAAGATTTTATTTCAGAAAAATTTGTTTTCGACGCTAATCATTGATAAATAAATACTGATTTGTTACACAATTTCTGTCTTTTACTGTTCTAAATTATATCTTCCTAAGGTCTACACTTCAATGAGCTTAGTGTAATGACATAGGTAGGGAGTAGACCGTTAAGGTTTCTCCTAGGCACCAACCTAGAAAAGTATTTTTCGTTATGCCATGCACACAACAAGCGACGCTTTATTCCAAGCTGACTCAATCCAAGTCCCTGGAATAAAATATAACGTGCATACATCGCCAAGGACTTCCTGATTCGATCATTCTACAACTTTTGGTTTTTTTTATCTTTCCAATTTTCTGTTGTATCTCTCCTTTAGCACATTGTGGAAAGCATATTCGGAACCAAGTTTTAATGAGTCTGCACATCGTTATTCACCTCAATGGTTTTAAACCATGAATAGCAAACCATTTTCGGGGCGAAATTCGAAACAATCATGCGAAATCTAAGTTGCAAGCTTTGATCACAAAAAAACATATCGAACAAGAGTGAAGATAATTTATTGCGATGAGTATGCAAAATAACATGACTCTAATGTCAATTCAACGGAATTTTACTCATAGATTATTTCAAATACATGTTGAATTTTGTTGATGTCAATATATCCAATATTAAGACGAATTGGATTCATATTTAATTATGGAATTTATTTTACATGGAAATGGGGGACGAGCAGAGTTCATGTCTCGACCGTAGGTTTAGAGGAACTCGTGGAAGGTAAGAAAGTGTGTGGGTGGGTATTGCGATGAGTTTGTAAAATAACATAAATCTCATGTCAATATAACTGGATTTTACTCATTTAATATTTCAAATATATGCTGTACAAATAAAAATGAAAATACTTTGATCTTAATATACCCAATATTAAGATGAATTGGATTCATATTTAACTATGGAATTTATTCTGCGCGGAAATGGGGGACGAGCAGAGTTCATGTCTCGACCGTAGGTTCAGAGGAACTCGTGGAAGGTAAGGGTAAGGAAGGTATCCGGTCCAGCGCCAGTCTCCGCTTGTCGATTGCCGGTCGATTGCCGGTTCCTTCAGCGCTGCGACCTGCCTAGGGCGCGGAAGCGGACGAGGGGTTCGATCGAGGGTTTCGCGAAGGGCGGACGAGGGCTCGAGGACGAGGACGAAGACGAGGATGGAGAGATGTCGTCGGGCTCGAGGGGCCGTGCGGGGAAATGGCAGAGTCTCGATGCGCGATTCTTCGTCGTCGTAGTCGAGAATGTCATCGATCCCGAGTAGGCTTGGCAGCTGTGGATTGTGCAGCCGCCGGGCCGTGAATGGGTCGGATTCCCTCAATTTTCACCTGCTGCCAAGATCTGCTCGGCCTCTACAGGATTCCAAGATCGTCGTCCTGCCGAAGAAATTTCACAGCCTCCGCCGCTCTGACCTTCTTCTTCGCTGCACCGCGATGGATCGCCGCAGAGAGACTGGGCCATTCCGCCGGTGGCGTTTCCAGAGGCCGAGGCGATCTGCGCCTGGCCTCGGGCGACAGGTCACGGGTTCTTCCCTCCTCCGATGAGGGGAGTGGAGGTTCTCGCGATCTGCAGCAGCAGCAGCTCTCGAGGCGGAATTCGGTTCCCCATCAGCCTGAATTTCTGCAATCGGTGTCCGAGACGCAGATTTCCCGGGGAGTTTATGTCTCAGGTAACGACACCGCGGTGTTCTCTGGATATTTTCATCTTCGGTCACGTCGTGCGCAGGAACGGATTTCTCTTTCTCGTAGAGTTGTGCATTTGCATGCGTTGAGCTCGCCGAGAAGTTGTGCACCCGGATTTGCAAGCGTGCCATTCGCGCGAGGACATTCGAGCTCGGCGCAGCACGCACAGAGGCAGCTGGATGCCGTGGACGTAGATGAAGGCGACTTGCCGGCCTTGGAAAGCGTTCATCGGAGGCGGATCTTCGTTAAGACCGCCGGGCATCTGGACGAAGTTGCAAACTTGATAAAGGACGAGCTTGGACGAGCGAATGAATTCCATTCGACAGTGCCGGCGCTTTTGCGGCGTGTGCAGGTCAAATTAAGTTCTAAGCTGTTGGCACTGGTGCTGCAATTGCAGACGGATCCCGGATTGGCGTTGGCTTTTTTCCGGTGGGCTCGTGAGCAAGGATTAGCACCCTCTGCTTATTGTTACAAAGTCCTGATCTACGCACTGACCCTCCCAGGAGGCAGTGATCAAAGAGTCCTCGAACACGTGGAGGCTTCACTGGGTCTGGTACTTGAATTCATAGAGAAGGGCTGGATTCCAGGAATTTCCACTTGCAATGCCGTCGTTGGAGCCCTCTGTGCGGTTGACAGGGTGAGCTCTGCCTGCATGCTCGTCCGAATCATGAAGGAAAAACAATGGGCACCAAATGCTAGAACATACAACTTGGTTCTATCTGGGCTGGTGAACGGGCGCAGATGGCGAGAGGCCTGGGAGTTGTTCGATGAAATGAAGCAGACTACGTTCAAACCGAATTCGGTCACTTATAGCACTCTTATTCGTGGTTTCTGTCAAGAAGGGAAGGTGGACGAAGGGATTGCTGTATTCAACCTCGCATCACGGTCTGGTTGTAGCCGCGATCTGGTGACGTATACCACTCTCATCACAGGTCTTCGCAAGGTGGGGAGGATTGAGGAAGCTTCAAGCATGTTAGAAACAATGATTTTGGCAGGATGCGAACCTGATACAATTGTTTACAGTTCAGTTTTAGTAGGATTATGCTCCACGGGCAAACTAGAGGAGGCTGTCTGTTTATTCAGAAAAATGTTACAGCAGGGTTTTTTACCTGATGTAGTGACCTGCAATGGTCTTCTTAGTGCCTATTGCAGAGCAAACAAGTTGGATTCAGCTCTGGAAATGTTTGAGAGGATGAGCCAGTGGGGATGCAAACCGGATTCTCGTTCGTACGAGATAATTATTGGAGCGCTTCTCAGTGCTCGTCGTGTGGAGGAATCCCTGGAGTACTATGAGAATATGCGGCATCATGGATGCTGTCCCAGTTCTTCCATCCACGATACGATTGTCAAAAAACTCTGTAGAGCAGGCCATACGAGGTTAGCCTACGAGCTTTTGTGCTCACGGCAACCGAATGAGTTTAAATGTAGTTCCTCTGCTTTCAAATCCGTGATCGGGAGGTTGGTTGTTGATGGGCAATGGGCCGAAGCCACGAGGTCAGTAGAAAGAATGTCAAAAGTACATGGTGCGCCGACTGCACGTTTTTACCACCATCTTATCCTTCTTTTGGGGAAAGCAGGAAAATTGAACGATGTACCGTCGCTATTCAGGTCGATGGAACAATCCGGCTTCTTCCCCGACTTACTCATGTACAATTGCTGTATCGATTGGCTTGTAGAGAGGGGCCTTTGCGAGGAGGCCTGCAAGGTTGTGGAGGAAATGAAGGCAAAGGATATATCGCCAGATGTTGTAACATACAATACTTTGCTCAAAGGACTTGGAAAAGAAACCACCACTTCTGTAGCACAGAATCTCTTGAAGCATATGAAAGAGAACGCTTGTTCTCCGAATGTGATCACTTACAGCATACTCATGGATGCCATATATCGGAAAGGAGGATTACAGGAGGTCGCTCGTCTATTCGAAGATATGCAGCGTGAGGGTTGTGATCCTGATTTGTATGCGTACAACACTATGATCAAGATCCTTACTCAGGCTGGCAATTTCGAGGAAGCTTTCAATTTTCTCAAGATGATGGAGAGGGCCAACTGTACTGCAGACGTAGTGACGTATAACCTTCTCATTGATGGGCTAGGAAAAAGAGGCTTGACGAAGAAAGCAATGAGGCTTTTCCAACAGATGCAGCGGAGTGGCTGTACACCAGATGCAATCACTTACAGTACCATGATTTGTACCCTCAGTCAGGCCGGCCTCTGGTACACATCCCTGGAAGTATATCTTCAGTCCAAGGAACATGGCTCCTCTTGTGATGTCGTTAGTCATAATTCCATAATCGATGTACTTGTCAAAGCGGATCAGGCAGAAAAGGCATTGCAGATATTTCAGGAAATGAAAAGGCAGGGCCATAATCCAGATGTCGTCACTTACAACACTATCATGGCTTGCTTGACAACTTCTGGTGACATGAAAAGATCATTTGATTTGTTTTCTGAAATGAAACAGGCGGGGGTTGCACCAGATGTTATCACGTACAGCGTTCTAATTCGTGGGCTCTGTAATATACGTCAGTGGGTAACAGCCTGTCAGCTACTAGAGGAAATGATAGAGAGAAAACTGAGCATTGATAAGTACACCTTTCACTCATTGAAGAGTGGCTTTTGGAAATCATCTTATGCCCTTAGAGCTTTCGGTCTGCTGACTGCTCTGAAACGAGAGAAAAGCTTCCCTTCAGAGAGGACGCAAAGAGTTTCGACCGAAGGGCCCGACGATGTCGACGGCTCGGTCCCTCCCGAAACCGACGATCTCAATGAGGCAGAGTCTGTGGAGTAACGAATCTACTTCTTGAAGGACGAAAGGAGAGTATCTTCAGTATCCACGATCAATAGGAGAGGAGGAAATGGCATAGAGGTGGGTGGCAAGAATTTATTTCGTTTATAATAGAACCTGAACGCGGGAAGAACAAAGTCGAGACTTTGTGTAAGGCTAGTCTGTAGAAACATTTTCGATTAACATCCAGCCTGTGGTCTCACCAGGTTCACGGCTCGTTGGCATCCTAATAGAGCTGATGATGGACTGTGATGCGTCATCGGTCCCCGATATTACAGCCAGATGCCCCACATGCCTGAGAGATGTGAGCAGGTGTGGAGGCATTTTTCAAGCAGGTATGACAGGTAGTACAAATGAAGAGTTCGTTACAACAATGATTATGTTTTTGCAAGATAACTTAATCAAAGTCGAACTATACTACTATACTAACAAGCTTCCATTTTTTCCTTGATATCTTGCAGGCGAATCAGACTGTTATTCCAGAGGTGGGACTGAATGGAAAAGCTTGTCATGATGAAGAGCCTGAACGAGTATGAGTGGCAAACCAATGCATCAAAAGGTGTTTTTCTAACTGTCACGGTGGCAAGTCCCCCCTAAGACTTCTCCCTATTAAAGAGACATTCCGTTTGGCAATTTGATTCAGGGAATTAGACGAGGATTCATGCCGGAGATGTATCATTTTATACCACTATAAAGTGTCCTCCTAAACTTGCTCGTTTGGTCTTTCTCTGTCTCTCTGTACGCTTCGCGTCTGATTACTTCATTTTGCAGGTGAAACAAGTGCAGGAGGTGAGACACGACGTAGCTGCAAGTGATCTGACCTGCAGTGACAGAAACGTGAGAAGGCTCGGAGATTGTGCCCAAATGCATAGTTCTTATTCTGGACTCTTAGTGCTAACAAGGTTGTGGCCATATATCAGACGCCGAATGCTGCGGGACCGTACATAATGTCCGTACATAAATACTCAAGTATATCACTGGAGATTGCACCTGTTGTGTTCTGGGCGAGGAAAGTAGATCCAGCTGTCCTCTTGTTCGTAGCGCCGATAAAGCTTGTGTGTGTAATTTAGTGCGGTACTGGCCCGCTGTGTCCGTAGTCATCACTCCTACGTCCACTGTTACTTTTCGGCTACAGAGCTCGTCTCCTACCCGGAGTATCCACTTGTTTCCAAAATACAAATTAACAGACAAAAGATTTTGACGGAAGGGAGTATACGACGCGAAGATTACCATATTGTCCTGAATCTTCAATAAGCCAACTTTTAAAAGGTGCTGTTAAAATATCATCAATGCCATGAGGTTGTGATCTCAAATGACAAAGTTTACCGTAACCACGCATTGGAAGGTGGTTGCGAATCAAGACTCGGTAGTGCAAGTAGATGCTTAATAAGAGACGTGAACCCAAAACATATTTGTCCGTCAAATGTGAATTTTCTGTGATTGTGGACTACACTACTGTTTTTCTGTGATGGAAACGACGAAGGGGTCAACGCACCACAAGTTTACTGCTTGAAGTCCTGATTTCGTCCTGGCCATCATGGCGATCGAATATTTGGCATCGTCCATCCTGTTTAAGTTCGAGAATATAGAACCATCGAGACAGACTGTCCCCGAGAGGCTCGACTGTCTTTCACACCTTCAGAGATGTCTTCGTCCGAACCTCGAGTGCGAGCAAGTGAGGGGAGGGGAGGGGAGGGAAGGGGATGGGGTGGGATGATGGCGGTAGGAGCTCTCGACCGAGTCCCGGCAATGCATCGGCAGGTAACGACGGGGAGTCGTGGGCAGTGCACAGCGCAGCCATGGATCCTATCTATGTCTCTCGGTCTCGCTGTCTGGAAACAAGAGGTGGAGAAGCATTCACCCTGAGCCACATGGACACGGTAATTTGGGGGGTTCGAGTCAGTTACACGGAGCGAGGGCGAGCGAGATCAGAGGCCCGAAAAGAGTGCGAGAGCGAGAGCGAGTCGACGAGGAGTGGGAATTGAGATTGGCCGAGTCCTGGCAGCGGGCAGAGGGAGAGAGGTTTGTGGGATTCGAGGCAGTGGCATCGCACGCAGGGTTGTTGTGGGAGAGTGTCCATGGCGGTTCGCTCGCTGTCGATGTCGCTGTCATCGGGCATCGCCGGAGTGCCGTGCCAATTATCCATCAGGGAATCGGGGCTCGGAAGCGCGAGGAAGAATGTCGCGCTGCGAAGGGAGCAGCAGCAGCAGCAGCAGCAGAGGGCGGGGTCGCTGAGCATCATCAGGGCGCAGGAGGACGAAGGAGGAGCTCCGGCCGCGGGCGAGGAGGATGACTTCGAGGCCCGGCTCGCCAAATTGCAGCGGAAGGTCACGAGCGGAAGCGGCAAGAAAGCGGAGGCCAGGAAAGCGCGCAAAGAGGGAATGGACCCCTCGATGATGAGCAGCAGCAGCAGCAGCAGCAGCTCCTCGACGAAAGACCTTTTTATTCCGCCCGTGCCTCTCAAGGACCCCGTGGCCGATGGGCTGGTTGTGGAGTTGGGCATGAAGCCCTACACCGAGAGGCTGAACGGCAGACTCGCCGCATTGGGGCTGGCTGCCGTGCTGCTCGTCGAGCTCGCCACCGGCGACAGCTTTCTCCATTACCATGACTCCGGCACTCTGTTCGTGCAGGTATACACCGTAGTTGGGCTAGCGGGCCTGTACGCCAAGTGGGAGAAAGAGCGCATTAGCGTCTGGCCTAAAGATTAGTCCTCCATTCATTCATTTCACCGTTTTATTAAATTAGTCGTGTGTCCATTGAGGATTGTGTCTCTGATTGATTGATTGTTGAGCATCATGGTCGTTGTTCGTTTGGTCTCGAGTGCATGAAATTGTTTTCTGATCATCATCCATTCGCATTCGGGGCCGTGTCCACCGAAATCATTCATCCGTTTACCAATCCGGCAATCAGAGCCATTTCCATCCTGGCGTCACATTTCATTTCATCTCACGAGTTCTTGTCTTCGTTTTTCACTATTTCCTCCGACGTGATGATCGAGCCGACGAGTGAATGATATTTTCCTCTGAGCAACCGTCGTGATGAACCCTTGCGATTCTGCTTCGGAAGGAAGGAGCGCTGGCTCTGATAATTCTGCTCATGCGATGCAATTCACGGTGGCCATTCCTGTATCGTTTCAGTCCCTGTCGTCATCCGATTGAGTTGCCTCGCTGCACGTCGAGTCCCTTTGACGTGCAGACGCGAATGCCACTTCCTTCCTTTCGTGGAATGCAGGCCCGTGTGGATCTGTACAGCCCCGGAACGGATTCCGTGCTCTGCCACATTCAGAGCCTGGTGACTTGCAATGATTTTATGATTTGAACTGAAATTTCTCAGATCCTGCAGCCCTCACAATCTTCTTTTACCAGACTATGTGAAGTTAGTTTTTCCGAGCTTGTCGTTCAAGGTGAAAAGTCCCTCGATTGATTTGATTCGTCCATTTGTAGGATTTGGCTTCTCGCAAGCAAACTCTTCAGCAGATGGTTCGAGTTGCTCTCGAGGAGAAATTCCAGTAGCCTATCCGTGCAGAGATTCATGGACTCGGAGCCGTAACCTCAATCTTCATAACACACTCGAAAATGTTGGACCAGGGCTGAAAATAAGGACTTTCACCATGCTCGGGCTGGGCATTGCCCGCATCCAGGCGTCATGCCAGAATTCACCGAGGCAAATTCAACCCTGCGAGTGGCAGGTGGAGAACATCAGCCAGTATCCCTGCACTTGAAACATAATAAGTTGTTACAGTCCAGTAGTCTCTTGATCTTTGTCCTCCTCTGGGAGGGTCTTCTTTCTTGACCATGGACTAATTTTCCCACTCCCGCAGATTCCCCATCCCCAATCTTTGAACATCCTCCCTCCCTCGGTCTTCTCCAGCACTGCGAGATTCCAACGCAGGCCAATGCTGTCTCCGGATCATCCATCCCTTACACTTAACCTCCGCACACTGTCAAGACTGCCAGATGCACGCAGGCCAGAGATCAGCTTCACGAGACATCATTCGCTTGTTACCACTCTAGCATATGCCATGCACATGAGTACATGCTACCATGGAGGAGAATTACTAGGCACTACAGACCAAGTTTAGACATGAAGGAGTGGATGACCATGAATCCGAGCGTGATGAATGGATGGCAACTAGTGCACTCTATAGCTTAACAAACATCCAGTGTAGAGATTTAGGCAAAATTTAGAATTTTAATCGACAAGCCAAGAGTGTAAACTTTACTCTGTGAACTTCTGATCCTGAACGAAGAACTCTATGGTTTCAAGGTGTTGCAGTTTGGCCACACATGAAGGTTCATATAATTGCGCTACTGAACATTAAACTTCCATCGGGCACTGCTAATGGGTAGCTAGCCTTTTTACTCATTCTGTAGCGAGGCTAGAATAAGAACTATGGAAAACTCGTGTTTCTTCTACATGTACGTCGTGTGTAAAGGGGTACTCCAACATTTGAATCGTCCTCTGGTGAAGGTTCTAAATTGTATGATGCAAAACATGTTCTTATCCCATGTGCTTCATCTTCAAAACTGATAGATGGAGTCAACGAAAAAGAAATTGCGTGTATGTCTTGTCACTGTCAAAATATGTACATTACTTTCTTAGAAAAGCCTGAAGGCTTTTCGAGTCGAAATGATTGAAACTGGAAAGATAATAAAGGACTTAGCCATACATGAACTAACGTGTGCATGAATCTTGAGGAGATGAACTCTTCATTTCTGAAGTAAAGCTCCAAACGAACTTCAATATGTGGTACAGAAAGAGGGTATAACTGCAGTAATCGAGAAAAGATGAAGGTTTCGACCGGAGATATGTGGCTATGGTGGAAATGAACCTGGATAAAACGTTTGAGAATGGGACATAGACCTCGCCTTTTTGGGTCTCTCCGAAGTCGGAGGACAAAGTAAAATGACACCATGAGGATCGGAAGACCCCATCCACTGTAATCGTTAGCTACCCTTTACGGTTGACCTCAATTGGAGACCAAGCTGTACATGACAAACCAAGGCATCATCTCGTCTGCACTTCCAATGGTGAACACCCATCCACCTCCCAAAACTACCCAGAACTCCGTGGTTTCTGAATGTACCACATGTCACGTTCTGTCCGAGCGGGCGGGCGGACGGAAATTTCCAGCACGACAGGTGATGTGAGTTCCATCTCCTCATGTCCTGTAGAAGCTCTCGTAGCTTATATCGGTTTATCTATTTGCGTAGATACATTGATATCCACAGTACTGATCGTGGATATCAATATTGTGGATATCAATGTACACCATAAATTAACTGAACGAGGGAGGTACTTCTGATCGTCCCTTTCTTCCAACGCCGCCACAAGGGTTTGGTTACGAACACGCGCTCGGGAATGGCGGGGCGATTGAGACGACGATCGAGCAGGACATGACATGCATCGTGGGGATAATCCAGACGGCCACGAAAGATCGGACTCTGAATCAGAACGGGGTCAGATAGAAGAGGACAGTACAGTAAAGGGAAGGCGGAGAAGGATGCGAGCGAGCGAATGGTCCCGTTGACGATCGGAAGATTACGGTGCACGCCAACGAAGGAGCAGCAGGAGCTCCTCCGCTGGTGGTGGTGGTGGTGGGGGGGAGGAGCGACCGCCTGCCGCTGCTGTGGCTCAAGGTCGGAGAGATGAGAAGAGAAGAGAGTGAGGGGCAGAGAGAGCCGATTCATGTCCACTTGTCTGGACCGGTGACCGCGGCTGCCCTGCCCGAGGAGAGGGCTTCGACGGTTTCACCGACCGCAGCGGGGCCAGCGGGGCCAGCGGGGGCAGCCGGGCAGCGTCTTCGAACCAACTCCGCAGTTCCGAGTGCGTAACCGGGGTGAGTGAAAATGGTGAACCCAGCGCAAACCGCGAAAATATCTCCAAGAATGAAGGATATTCCATTTGTCCAACAATAACCGCGGGACACGGCAGCACTCTCCCGCGTCCACGCAAGCCGCATCACCTGTACACGTGAGCTCTGCACGGGTCCGACCAATGGTGCCGCAGCCTTTCCGCTTGTCTGTCAGGCGCTGTACCTCCCCTCCCGCACGCTTCCCTTTTCCGCTTCCGCCTCGAGGCCCCGACGACGACGACGACGACGACGCTCGCTCTTGCGCCTGCGCAAATGTTCGATGCTTGCCCGCCCGCCCGCCCGCAATCCCGCCCGCGCGCGCGCCAGTCACAGAGGAGAGGATCGGAGCGGAGCGCCAGAGGGCCAGAGACGTTGCGCGGAGACGTTGTTGGCGGACGCTGACCGGTGGAGTTTGAATCGGGTATCGACAGTTGCGCTCCGGAGTGATCGAGCGAGCTCGAATTGGGCCCGGAGGTCTCTGGAAGCTCGGCCTGCTCGGCCCCCGCGAGGAGGGACTGACAGGCGAGACGAGACATCGATAACGAAGCAGAGGAGGAGGAGGTGTTGATGCGGTGGTTGATTTCGGGGTATGATGGTCGATCGAGCAATTGAGGGCTGTGAGTCTGACGCTAGGACGGCTCGCGTGGCACCGTGGTGAATTTGGTGTGGATGATTCGAGCAGAGCTCGCACAAGACGGCGAGGGATTGATTGCATGCAGGACTTGTCGACTGCGCGATTGCGTCGGAGCTCGAGGCGGTGAAGAGCCGGATATAGAGTACGGGTTTCAGGAACGGGGGACTCGGCGGTAGATTAGGCGGAGATTAGTGTAACCTCGATGGTGAACGGAGGTGCTTACTTGTTGGTCTCGGACCGGCCTTTCTTGCGCGGATCTGGCCGTTGCCTAGACCTGTCACCTGCTGTTCGTAATTCTCCTATCTTGAGATTCCGAGGATCAGAAATTCGACGACGTTACTGTCAGCCTACGATTTGTAAATTAAAGAAAGGCGACGATTTGCTAGGAAATTCGAAACTTGCTAGGAAATCGAAGAGGAAGGGAGTCGATTTGTCCGAGGCCAGAACTTTGCAGCAATTGCAATCTTCTGACTCCATTTATGCTTCTTCGGTTCGAGGATTTTCAACCAAATCTGTAGCATCTCCTGCATCGGAGATGGAAATGGTGGCAGAAGAAGATATGGAAGCGGATGATGACGACGAACTTAGCGTTTATAGAGGTTTAGTCCTTGATATGGCATACAGGTAGTCTCCAGTGATTTGTTACTGGGAATGCGTACCACCGTCAGTCCTACCGTTGACTAGTTATTCATACTGAATACCTTGCTTCACCTCTGCGCGGTTCAAGATGGACTGGCACTTGCCGTGTTCAAGTCCTTCCGGCTTTGTTGCCTGTTCTGGGAATTCTGTAGCAAGCATTTGTCAAATCTAACCTCAAACACACTCACTGTTTAATTGTGAACCAGACCCATCAATGTGGTGAACTGGAAGCGGGCATTGTGCCTTGACATCCTTGAGAAGGTCGGCGCCAGCTACTATATTAGGAATTCTCCAGGACTGAGCATGTCACCAGCAAAATATATGTCGTTTAAATTGCAGTTGCACCGGGCGATTCGCTTAGTGCCTGCTTGTTATGCTCAGTAGTTGCCATACAGATTGCTAGAGCATATGGCTACCTAATTCTGAATGTCTGCAAGTCGTGGATACTGCTTTGAAGGCTTGCTCAAATCTGAGGTGACTGTGCAGGCGGATGTGCTTGAGTATTATGACCAAGTTATTTATTCTCCCAACAGAGCTTTTTTTATTCCTGCTGTCTTAAAAGTAAGTTCCGTTGCCTAGCTCCCTTTTCCACATTCCGATCATGTTGTTTCCGCTTTATGCTCCTTCCCTCCCCCATCCGCTTGTGCTTCTGTAACGTAACGTCATCTCTTCATGCATGATCGACAATCCTCTCTGTAGTTTCTTAGAGTATATTGTGTCGGAGGGTTTGCAGGCAACCCAGTTCCAGAATTCTCTCCGACGTGTACCTTTGAGTCTGAATTATTATGTAATTCGTAAGTCCCTTGTATCGATAAGCCTATGGATAAACTCAGTAAGAAGAAGATATGAGTCTCCTACGATCACTGCCTTAGAACATGTTTAGTTCGCCTTCCACAAAATTTCGGCTACCAATAGGTCTACATTTATCAAAAAACATGGTGCAACCAAATGCCAGAACTGTTCTATAACAATTCTATCATCATGTCCTCTGTGTCTCAGATTTGTAACTTTGTCCATTCCCCCGGGCAAAAGATGGTGAAGCTTACTCTCAATCGAAGTAATGTGTTTATGCGGGACAAATTTTGTTGCCAGTAAGTATGAGGCTTTCTTCATTTAAACTTCTTTCTGACTTTTGGTGGGATGCAAGTCTGGACAGCTCAATCCGAAACTGGAACTAGAGACTTTGCTCTTTCGTTAGATGTTCCAGCATTGATTAATGATCAGAGGCAATTCAGCTGGAATACAATCTCGTATAGAGCCATCTCATCTTCTAAGTCGAAGCATGTCCTAGCCACTTTCTATTGACCATCTTTACCTGGAGCAGGTATTGCACTTCTCGTGAAAATTTGACCATCGATCATGTCCAAGCAGCTTCAAGGGGTGGAGGCTGGACGTGGGACAACCTTGTAAGTCTTTGAATTGAATATACCTTTGAGACAAGCATTGTCTTTGCCACCTGTCATGCGTCTGATGGAACAGATTTGTCTCCCTTGACTCCCAAGAACGAACTACTAACGAACACTTAGGATACGGAGTTTTGAATTTAGTTCTATGAGTACTTGTCAGTCCCATGGGAGTTGACGGACAGAAGTTTAGGCGTCAACACATTGCTCTGAATGGTTTAAGAGTTTACGTATTCAGTTCATTGAGAATCCGCTCCAAACCTGAATCGTAAGCTTCTTGCAAATCACTACCTACTGTGTTTTCTGGTTATGGGGCCATGTTTCTTGTAGAAGACCTGGTAAAGAACGCTTGGCTGTTGAATTGCCTCACTCTTCAAGATTGTTGTTAAGCCCGAACTTCCCGGAGTGAGGGACTTTTGAGTGTTTCAAAACGCTCTTTCGAGGTTGAATCTTACAGTAAAGCCGAAGGGCGTGAGCGTCGTTGTGGCTTCAAATTGTAGCATAAAACAGATAGGACAGATCTGCCGGCAGAACAGATCTACCTTTCACATTGGAATGCTGGCTTCTTCTTACCACTGTAATTCTTTTTCTTTCACGCATGTCACTAACTCGATTTCTTCTTCAATCAGGTCACAGCCTGTTCAAAGTGCAACTTGAAGAAAGCGGACAAGACATTAGAAGAAGCTCGCATGAAACTGATCAAGCCGCCAAAGGTGATACTTGTACCTCTGACTCATCGAGTATTACACTATCTTAACACATTATCTGTTACCGTTCTGGGGGCCTTATTACTCCTTTGGACTTTTTCCACACAATCTAGATTCATGGCTCTCAGATGGACTACAGGTTTCACCTAGTTCTTCATCTCAACGTTTCTTTCCATTTTTCTTGCTTACAGTCACTCATTAGTACAGATACAATCAAGAGGTGAGGAGAACAGAAAACATAGATTGTAAGAGTAGTTTCATGAACCATGCGCTTGCTTGAGAGATACGATATAACTTCACACCAGATTGTTGTTGTAAAGAAACACTACAGCAGACAATGAAAGTCTTTGAACAAACTAAGACAACGCCTCTGTGTTCATTATCTTTACACCCGAAAGAACGTTACCTGGTCTGACTTGTATCGACTGTTCTTAGTCATAACCGTATTTACCGGTAAGTGATTGTTCTGCGATATTCTTTGCATTGACTGTCCTGGAACTAAATAGTAGTTTTATATTTGGGATATATAATTCTAGCATATAAATGTCTAACCCGAAGCTGCCGATCTGTCGTGTGCCCTGCCTCGATTGCCTTACGTTGCTTCTTTGGCTCATGTTTTAGACATATCCTACCCGCTTGATCTTCTGGTGATGTGCTGAAATAAGACGAGACTGGTCCAAAATTTCTGCTCACACTGTTATTCATTCACAAGTTTGCCCTTGTTGAGACACAGGAGTTCAGATTATGACTCCCACCCGTAGCGTTTGGAACCTACAGAGAAAAAATAACTTCCCGTTCGTATTGGCGATTCATTAAATAATCAACCCTATATGGAAGTGTTTGAAGATTGTAATTGTACAAAGGGAGCTCTTTGACATCACTGACCCTTATTCGATGTAACCGAGCCATTACGCAGCTCCCTTCTTGTTCGAGTTATTTCTTGCGTCTGTCAATTTTCATTATGAAATCCACTCCTGCTACCCTACTACAGACAATGGCCTTTTTTTCCGGTTCTTTATCGTCGCATGAGCCATCAGACTGTCTGCATTGTGTAATTTATTTGAATATTTGCTCAGCGTTTTTCGTTCTCTAGTATCTCTGCCATCCTGTGCTTAGTTCTTTTCAGTCTTCCTCGTCTTCCATCGCAATGGCACTCTGTATCCAGCCCGGTTAGCGGTGGGCTTGAAAGGTAAGGGCCAGACTGAACACGAAATGCAAAGGATATTCGTCTAGAACATTGAATAAAGCAATGAAACTGTGTTGGTTTTTAGTGTTTGTTACACTTTTACAGCCCAATACTTCAGTCATTGCTCGCGCACAGGCCGAAGTTCGACTGCTATTTCTTTTAGCATATGCTACTAGGTCTTTTTGTGATCGCCGGGATATTGTAAATTTTGACAGAATTCATGTGATTTGCTTGCGTTGTAAGAATAAGCCTCATAGTAGGCTTTTACTGCTAGTTATGAGAGCCTACTCTGAGGCCTAAGCTGTTTAAGATTTGCCGTTCATTGTACTTGTGATATCTGCAATTTTCTGAATCACATGGTTTTCTTGTAGGAACCCAAGGCGCTGCATAGCAAGAGCTTACCACCAAATTACAAGACCTTTAGATCACTGACTCTCAACAAGTACACACCCGCAGAGTGGCGCGATTATCTCCCGAGAGGTTATCCATCATTCTAATTTCGTATTGCAGGAGATCTAAAGTGCACATGAATCTTATGAAAACTCAGCACAAAGCGTTCTGCCGGAGCAAGCCTTGGCAGTGTAGTGCTGAGAACTATGTGCTTTGTACATATCAAGCCAATCCGGAAGGTCTGGTGCAAATGTAAAGTTATCCATTTGGTAATTAAGTGCCGGTGACACGCTTCACAGGCAAAAGTACGCGCACAATCTCTACTTTCTGTCTGCTTTGTAGAGAAGTATTGAGCACAAGGGAATCCTTTGAATCGTTTTCCTTAGTTCGTCTAATTTTATGATATATTGCCTACATATTTTCCACATTGATCCCATTCTTCTGGTTTGTTTATCAAAATTTGCCGAACTTATTCAATTTCTTGCCCTCCTTTTTTAGTGAGTTTGAATGCCAAGAAAGGCAAGTGTTGAATGTTGGTGGATTTCAAGTCCTTTTTAGTATCTAATTAGAACAGTTTGTGTCTTTATTTCTCAGTCAGAAATGATTCGAGATAAAATGACAGTTATTCATAAGTGGAACAAAGGGCATTCTATCTGGGTCTTTGTCCAACTCAAGGAACGACCCATGCATAAGTTGTAAATAACACTCATGGTGGTAAGAGGAAGATAATAATGTACTTTGCATAGTAATTTTTGTTACACATCACTTGACTGTGAGTATTGAAAGGAGATATATTCATGAGAGTTTATTACAGACAAATCATAACAGAAAAAGTAAATATAACATGATGCCCTTCAATCTTAAAGAAAATTGAAACTTGAATCATCCCTAATTACATATCAATCATTATTATCATTCAATCTCATTGAATGTTGAATCTTTGAAAGCATTTTATAGCATAGAAAGAATTAAATTTGTATGAATGATAATAGTCAATGGTCCTCCCGGCGGTTAATCAGAAGAAAAAGACCTTGGCATATATGCCGAAGTCATTTTAACGGCAGCTCTAAAAAATTAAAGGTCAGTACTTACTTGCTAAAATATACAAGTTCATTTGGAGTCCAGATTCAATCACATTGGACATAGTTCATCATTTTCTGCACCATTTTAAATATATCCAAAATAACTCTGATGGATTTTGATGACGATTACAACATATTAACGAATTTCTGACTTTTATTTTTGATATGTTTGACAGGATTGACCTTCTGAACTAAGTCCTAAGAATTTCCCAGCTTTAACTCATGTTGTGATTTTGATTCATCTATATTTTTTGAATTTGAATTATATGTATCATCAATGCAGTTAAACATTAACCAAGTTATCAGGTGATGCAACACGTTTGATATCAATAATATTATACTTCAAAGTACAAACTTTCAATGTAGCTAAACACTTGACTTTCTTATAATTATTATATCGTAGCGGAATAGTTTTTACAATGTGGATAATCTGGTCATTCTTCTCTCTTCAGAAATAGAAAGATGTAAAGTTATAATATAAATGAATCTGATATTTATGAAATTTTGAGTTCAGAAACTTTCAAATCTGATCTGCTTGTTCAATCTTCATTCTTTGAATTATTTTCACCTCTACATCTTATGACAATTACGTAAGAATCGAAGTGGAATAATAAAATTTAAATAATACCATGATTACACGTAATTAAGTCAACTAATGAAAACTACTTAGTTTGCAAGATACAAGAAATAAGTTTTGATAGAGATAATAAATCACTTTTTTGCATCATTCACTAGTTCTACACTATAACCAGTGGCGGAGCGATATGATAGTTTTTGCAAAAAATGCACCACGAAATTGATCGGGTAATGACTACTCCATTCTTATTCACTCGCCATTGGTCCTAACTTCTCAGCTCTAGACTCATGTCTAGTATGCCTACTTCAAAACGGATGTGCACGGAATCCTCCGTCGCCCAGCTAGAGCAAGGTCCTACCCTGCGCAAGCAGCGTCGAAAGATAGAGGATACATCTCTCGACCTTACATCGAATTCTCTGTCAAAGATAGAGAAGCCATCTCTCGGGGTTACATCAAATTAGGCCCTTTCCAGCTTATATTGGAAGAGTATCCAACCATTCTCTTGAACAAAAGATGAAGGCAAATCAACTCTCACTGTACTTGGTTAAAAGTCCATCACGGAATAGAGTACAGTCCAGCTGGAGATTCAATGTTTTGTTTTTCTTGTGTTTTATTTGCCAAAGATGTAAAGCGTGGAAAAGCTTTTGTTACTAGCGGAGTCAAAAGCTGGAACAAGATCTATGGTGAAGATTGTAAACTAGTGAAACATACTTGTCCATCATCACAAATTTCGCTTATTTTTTATTTATGCATTATTGGAAAAATATACCACAACGCCAACAATCCATAGCAATTCTATTTCACCGAGAATGCCAGCTAGTCATCGACAATAACGTGAATGGTCTCAAATCGTTCATAGAATCGGAGCGGTTTCTTTTTTATCAAGTACTTGTGTTTCGAGTAAATGACGAATCCCAATAATCTACGAATAAAACACATTTCCTTTATTTGCAAGCATGATGCCGGATATGCCAATGTCTGCTTCAACAATTCTAGTCATCCCATTATGTTACCTTATGCCGTTCGACTCAATTTTAAAGCTTTTGGTTGTGAAGAAAAGAGCAGTTGCAAAATCTAGAATGGAAGCTTCAAGGCTGCTTGAAGCTTCATACTCGTTTGATTTTATGTTCATAATTCACATGTTTAAATTTATTCGGCTGAAAAGATTGGATTTGTAAAATATACTTCAGAGAATAGAGCAAGACATTGTCAATTACATGGAACTCGTGCACATCACGAAGCTCAAACTTGAGAATCTTTGTTCTAATCACGGATGGACTTTGTTACCCAGCACCCTTACGTGCTTTTGCCAAGCCAACTATATCAATGTTCTTCAACTTGATTCCATTTATATCGCGACTGGTTGTCCAGACCTGATGTACGATAAATCACACTTCAACACCATTTCAAAGTTGATATCTTCCATTGCGTTATCGATATGCAAATCAACGAATTTTGAGATCGTTTCTTGGAAGACTCCTCTATACTTCTAACGCGTATTGCTTTACTTCATATGCAAATCTGAGAAACTCTGTTGACTTTAGTGAACTTGTGGCTTTAAGCAAGATGTATCCCATGGAGTTCACTGAATATGAGCAAGATCTGCTTAAACGGCAAGATTATCTAGTCTTTAAACTTTAGAGATGATCTATCTCTAGATCATAAACTCTTTTCATTCTTATGATTTAGTGAATCTTGTTACTCTCAAGTATATAATATGAATCTTCAACTTCTTTTTGCTGCATATTTATCGTTTGTTGGAACTCTCTTTATAGTTCAATTGCTTCAAATCGTCTTTTTCACTTCTTTGCACTTGCACACTTTATTTCATAAATTATAAGTTGCGCAAAAAACTAAATTGCAATTTTCTCTTGCAGATCTTGTGTTGTAACATTCCACGTACTCTTATATTTATTTTTTGAGTACTCCATCACCCAACAAGCATTTGTCTCACATGTTTCTTCTTTTATACTCATCCTCACAACAGATCTATAAAGCCAAAAGGGAAAAAACAAGGAGAAGTGAAAATAGAAAGGGAGTATAGTGTCTTTACCAAATAGACAAGAGTGTATTCGTCACTTTAGCAACTCAGTGCAATTGACCTCTGCCATCGACATCAGCAGCGGCAAAAACGACTATCGGTAACAACTAGCTGGATCTAATTCTGAACAAAAACCATCCGTCTAAACCTAGTGTACTTAGAGCAGTGCACAGCAAGGAAGAATATAATATCAATACGGTTTCAACAATCTTCAGTTCTTCAGACAGATGCAATTCAAATCCAAGCCCCAAAGCAACATGTTACATTGTACTAAAACTCGTAGCTATTCTACATGTCTCCAATACTAATGTAGTGTAACATTTTGTTGTCAGATCGTCATCTAAGAATTTTCAAAGCTCTGCAAAACCACTTTATGTTTTTGAATGTGAAACTCTAATCAAACCCTTGGATGCGATTCTCTTCTCACTGAAAAACAACTCGTTAATTTCTTGAACTGAACCGCTGTTGTCAATGGTGCCTTTGATGATGATGAAGCTTTGATGTTTTAGGTTATAGTAAACATGATGGAGGATTGCAAACTCTTTCTTACACTGCAGAAGCATTTGAAGTTGAAAGCTAAGATTTGAAGTCAAGTTGCAGCCGTGGAAATTGCCAAAGCGAGCAAACAGTATTTGATGAACCGTGACATATGCCACAATATGGATCTTAGGGTTGTACAAAAAATTGAGGTTGAAGCCTTACTATGCAGCGGTTTGTCAAGTGAAACAATTGTCTCAACAACAACTTTATGTATATCAAGTTCATCGTCATGCAGAATTGAATATGGTCGTCATGAATATAATCTTGGATTCTTGTGCCAAGCTTCATATTGAATCGTAACAATCGCATGTAAGTGTTCATGACATTCGATGGATTTTTTTGATGGAACCGTTGCTAAAGCTCATCAAACAACTTTGACACTTCACAGTACTTCTCAACCTGCTTGAGTATAGAAAGTTTCAAATATACCAACATTGTGCAGACTGCCTAGCCTTGAGCAACACTCCATTCAATCTCACTTATGTAAGGAGGTGCTTTTCCCTGGTATATAGTGTGATCCATGGATCGTAAATTTACTTTATCCTAATTTTCTCAAAGCAAATAATCACCTTGGACATGAAAATGTATTATGTTATATCCAAAATTGCCAACGGCTTGTCACCCTGCCAGCTCTATACGTCAAAAAGGAGAGACAATAGCAGCTTCCGAGTCAATTTCTTCCTTTTGAGTCATTGTTCAACTCCTGAAAAAAATTTCTAAATGCACTATTCGTGTAGAGAGCTTTCCAATGATATCAAATTTGCCTATACTTCAATAAAAAAATATTTTTAAGAAATATTTATGATGTAATATTTCTTCACCGTTGGTCTTCGACGTTACCGTCATGGTCGGTCAGCCGTTGATTGTGTTGCCATGCCAACCACAGTTGATATGTCGACTACATTTGATTTTCAATCATGATCGCAACCACGTTTTGCCCGACCTCGATTGCAACCACGATCACGTTCACCCTGACCACAGTCATCCCTACCGACTACGTTCGTGTCGACCACGTCCACCCTATCCACGTTCGGCGTTTAGCGTTTGCTGATTTGGGTTTCGCCGTCACCGCCAA